AGCTTCCAGAATTTCGCATAGAGCATAAAGTTCAATGTTGAATATTTTGAAAGTACATTAGAATAAGATCCACTTTATGAACAACCTCATGGACAGAAAATGGCCCAGGAACAGTGCCAATATTTCCACTTACCAGTATAACAATAGTAAAATTACCCATTAGATAGAAATATAAAAACCATAGCAAGTGGAAAACGAGGATTCGATATTTTCAAAAAGGCAACATTAGAGAAAGTGAGGATTGCCGACGCCAAAACATGTTTACCTACTGGTAAACTGGTTTAATCGCTAAAGAAGGAAGCAAAGTCACAATGCATGCGTGTAGTAAGGAAGAGAGTAAAGCAGTTAAAACTCCCATATCAAGAAAGTCACAGATCCTTAATTTTATCACACAAAAAATTCGTTCACTGTTTTAGACTTCTCGTGGCTTTGTTAAACATCAAATAATATATATATATACTTGCATGCTCCGAGCATTCTGCAAGAGTACAGCAACCCTAAAAGCCTCTCAATCTCACTCGGATCTATATTCATGTTAAATTGACCCAAACACTGCCTGTCCCCTTGTCATTTGCTTTTTAATTATTGGCGAAATCAATTTAAAAGACTCCTGTCAACTATCATCGGAAAGAAAGCTTTTATTTATAACTTCCTTGTAAGAGGAAAGGATAGCGCTCTGATTATGTGAGAGTTGAAAGTTCCTCTTTTTCCTGTTGATGTCATCAAAACCCACGTACGCCCACGTACGAGCAGGGCCCAACATGGTAATTTGGACATAAAAATGTGTTTTAGTATTATGAGGATGGGTGTGACAAGGAATGCTGAAAGAGCATAGATGCAGCTAAACTCGAAACAGTAGAGTGGTACAACCCCTAGCCTGAATTTCATCCGATTACTTCGAGTTGTTATTACTCCCTCAGTTGAGAGGAGAAAACGACTCGAAGCAATCGGATGAATTTCAGGCTATACAACCCCGTCAGGTGAGCAATATACCAAGCCTTCCTTTAATTTTAAAAAATGACAAGAAATAGATTGCTAGATTAATCATTTAGACCAAGAAAGAACGGAAATATGTATACCAGGAAATAAAGGCAGCTGACACTAACACTAAAATTATATGACGTATGAATGAAATTGCCTTTTTTTGGCTGCGCGCGCAAAATCGTCGGTTCAGTCAGAGACCATAGCAACCAAAACTAAACATACTGTTCAGCCAGAGCCTACGAGCTCCTATTAAAAATCTAGGAAGAATATTCCAAGGCAATACTTTTGCGAATACATCGGCCGTAGTAAGATTTATAATTGAATTGTAAATTGTTACATCGAGCATTTCCATTGTTTGACAAGAAAATGACGACTCCGTGACGACTTTTCAATCTTGGCCATCAGGTTACGCCATGAGAAAAACAACGTAATTTAAATTTTGAGCAATTCTTACCTTCTACGTTGCAAAAGTTGTTCATTCATTCATTTCCCGAAAGCAGGCGAAGTTGCTAACAACGTAAGAAACTCAAAATAGCGCGGCAGATTAGAAACTTCTTCCCTTTGTCTCCTCTCTAAACGTGACATGAATGTACTCGTTTCGCCTCGCAGGATGGCGGATGAGATGAGAAAAAAAATCCACGTCATAAAGGCAAAATAGAACGTTTGCTTCTGCGCGCTCACTTTATCGAACGTCTTAGGATTTCAGGAAACTATTCCTTCCTAAGACTCTTGACCTGTAAATTTGTAAAGCAAAGCAAGCGGCAATAAAACATTTTTTACTACCGATAATTTCGAATGAGAAAAAAAATATATTTTAACTCTGCGCAGCCCATTTGGTTTGGCCTCAAATCATACTCGTCCGACCATCACTTACTTTCCCCGAAAGCAATTTATTTGTCTTTTTTATCTTAATCAGTTTACAAGTAGTGGGCTAGAAGCGCGAGAAACGCGAGGCTGCAAGAGAGTTTCCTCTAATTGGTTTTAAAAGTAGCCCGAAAATATACAACAGATCGAAAAGGGATATATCCAGGGATAACCGAACTTAATTATTAAAGACTTGGTTGGTTTTAAATATGGCGCGAAATTTACTACCCAATCGCAAAGCGAAATATCCACAAATCACCGAGCTGAATTAATACGTGGTTCCGTACGACTTAGTGTGCGTATATCGAGTTATAAGTGCAGGCGAGATGTGATAATTTAGTATGAGAAAATAGAAGGATTCCCCTCACGAGTTGGTTTAATTATTGGTGCATTAAACTTATGAAAAAATGATATTTCTTTAATAGTAAGTAGACTTGGAAAGAACAGGAGAATTGATTAAAAATTGTGAGAGTATCACGCGAAGAGTAATAATTGCTACCTTTTGCCAATATTTTTATGGCACATATTGAAACAACAATTCTAAGCGAACCGTTTTTAAGCCTACAGTTTGGAAACGCTGCATTGACGATATCTTTTGCCTATGGGACATCAGTAAACCAGACATCGAAGCCTTCATCGACCAAGCGAACTTACATCAAACATCACCCAACTATCAAATTCACGGCCGAAATATCTGACACTGAGACTGTGTTTTTAGACACGGTCGTATACAAGGCAAAAGATTCAAGGAAAAATCTATCCTTGATGTAAAGACACATTTTAAAAAAACGGAAACCTTCCAGTACACACATTTCACCTCTTGTCACCCGCCGAGTCTTAAAAAAGGATTTGTCAAAGGAGAAGCCTTGAGAATGCTACGAACAAGCTCCCCAAAAACTACGTTTGAGGAAAATATTTCAAATTTCAAAAAACGCTTGATTGACAGAGGCTAAATAGAAGGTTTTCTATCATAGTTTGTGGGTTGTACTGTAGGTGGGCAGTTTGTGCCATAAAAGCTCGACTTTGTAAGACATAAAGTTCAGAGAGAGGGAGTCTGCTCTCCTGAAACACAACAACAAAGAGGAAAAAGAAATATTGCCTTTCGTGACACAGTATCAGCCCTCAGCGTCTACTTTAAAAGAATTTTTAATGAAAAACTGGAATCTTATACAAAACCAATCGTTACTTCGCCAAATTTTCAAAGAACCATCTATCATTTCCTACAAGAAAGGAAAATCCCTAAAGGACATGCTCGTTAGAGCTAAAATATAGAAGGTTTACACAAGGTTTCACGCCGGTTTAGATGTGCGGCCTGTCACCCCTTGCATTTTCTCACGTATTTTTGAGTGAACAAATGTCATAAACGGGCCACAAATTCAACAGGAATACGCGCGAACTGAACAAATTGTCTGTTCAGGGGCACCCAACGAGAATATAGTTCAAAACCACTTAAACATAGCATTGTTCAACGTATTTTAGTATTTAAACGGTAGATAAAGGCATATTTTTATCCCCAAAAATTTTCATCTGTTCGGATTTCCTAGCTGAAAGTTAGTGATCCGAAAATTATAGGGATCAAAACTCGCCTTTTCGAAAATTTCAGCCAGAAAAAAGGCTCCCGAAAATTCTAGTTGACCTTTTTGGGGTAAAAATCCGTTAAAGATAGGCAATTATACCATTTTTTTAAATGTTCGAAAATCCTAGGAGAGGCAGGCAAGCAAGAAATTTTACAACAAATGTTCCGAAAATTCTAGATCTCAAATCGTCTTCCGAACAGATATTTTTTCCGAAAATTGTCGTTGGGTGCCCCTGTCTGTTGTACATTTGAAAGGTTCTGCTCAACTTACACAATTTTCCCTTGCTGAACATAAACTGTACCGAGCCGAATCTTGGTCCGCTATATATAAGCTATATCATGGTTCAAATTTTAAACTGTAAGATCCCTGAAAGAGTTCTCCTCAATGGAGCAATATGTAAAAGGTTTTCAAAGGTTTCTCGCCGGTGAAGATGTGCGGCCTGTCACGTCAGCTCTTGCAAGTTTTTACCATCTATTTCAATTTATTACAAAGTACGACAAGTGTTATTACAAAGTGCGACAGCTTTTTTTATTACAAAGTGCGATGGTCTGTTATTACAAAGTGCGACAGCTTTTTTATTACAAAGTGCGACAAGTGTTATTACAAAGTGCGACAGGTATTACAAAGTGCGACAGTACATGGCCTGTCTCACTGTACCAAAATTATCATATCTCGGTGAGCAATCGGAAGTCAGCCAAGCGCGGTCATTGCACGCGTGCTGAACAAGAATGCTGTATAATGACAGACTAGAAACAATAGACAACTCCCAAAGCACAAACTCAGCCAAAACGCTAAATATCTTCAATGTTTACTCAAGTTTGGGCTTATAGGCGATAATGTCACAGTTTTTCAATGACCATGAAATTCAGAGTCTGGGTAGTTAGTTAATCAATTGTGGCCCTGAAAAAATTTGAAGGAAAAAAACTACGAATTTTTAAGAAATGCGTTTTTCGTGAGAAGGACTCTTAAACGCTGACAAACGTCAACAAATAGCGAAAACTATAATTTCTATATGTTTGCTTTGCGCGAAATCGCGGGCATTTACAAGGCCCTAAAGTGTTTTGCTGACTTGCAAGGACCCATCTGTTATAACGATGCCCAAAATAAAGGGATGAATCTCATAGTTTATTAGATATAATCATGTAAAGTTTGCTTATTATTTTCGCATAAATTATGACCTACATTTGGAAACCGCTGAATTTCTCGAATTGGGTCTTTGCGATTTTGGTGAAACTCTGTTCAGAATAAGGCACTAATAGTTTATGTGTAGCCGAGAGATTTTCACGAAAAAATGCCGGCAACAGCAGAAAACCCAGACCTCAAATCATTATAACCACGTGACATTTAATGAGATCGGAAAATTTTGTTGTTAGTTTAGAGAGTCTATATGTTATCCATTCTATTGCAATTCCAGTAAAGGTGGGGATACCATTGGCTTGAATGGATGGTCCCCAAAAAATCCGTTGTTTGTCCTTAAAGTATGAACAAATTAGCGTTTTAAATTCTTTTTGAGCTTTTGGGGTTTTTTCCTCTAGTTTTCCAAACATATTGTCTAAAGGATCCTCCATCGAATTGCAATTCCAGTTCACTCTCATTGGGTGAATGAATTCCCTCATCCGTTGTTTGTCCTTCAGTCGACAACTTAGCCAATTCTTCAAGAGTGTTTCCTCTTTCCACATATTGTAAAGGACTCCATCGAATTGGAGAAGATCTTATCATGGATGACACGGGTGTCGCTGGGGGAACAATACACGAGTTGCATAAATTATATGTCTTTGACTGATTTCTTAAAGACGGTGACTCCAAACTTCTTTCCTGGGGTGCAAAGCCTCTCTTGAGTTTTGAAGCTTGGAAAGGGAAGAATTTATAAGTTGGAGACGGGCTGCTGTATAGTTTTTGTGGTTGCTTTTTCACAAACTTTTCAGCGTCACTGTGCATGTTGTCACAGTCGAGGCCAAAATATTTGGCACACTTCGTGACGCTGTACATGGGTTCATCCTCGTTCCACGTTTTGTATTTTAACAAGTTTATCTCTCCGCGTGTCGGTAAATCACGTGACTCGTATGGTCGAAATCCTCCGTTGACAAAGATTTTTTGCCAGTCAATAAATTGAGACTTTCCGCCAGAAAATCCACCTCTTTGACTTTTTGTCGACTTTGGAAAGTCAAATTTTTCCTTTTTTGTCTTTGCTAGTGACTTGCAATCCCTAAGAGGCGGCAAGTGATCTTCTTCGTCTCTTTTGTTTTCAACGAAGGATACTCTTGAAGTTTCTTCCGCCGACAAAATTCCTTCACTTGACCTTATCTCAGCGCTTGACTCGTCTTCATCCTTATGTAACAACCTTCTACCAATTTTTTTCTTGTCCATTCGCAATTCACTCAGTTTTTCTACGTTTCTGTCTTCGCTTCTTTCAACACAGTTCTCCAATTTCCCCAGAAAAGGTGTTCGAACAGTTTTTTTGGTTTCTTTTACTTTGAGAAAAAGACGTTCACACCTTACATTTAATCCAGTCACTTTCGTGTCACTGTTTTTCGTATCGTTACCGGATGTTTGCTCACTAAGGAGCTTTGCCCAGCTATTGTTGAGGAGTTGAGGTTTTCTCGCAGCTATTCCGGGGAATAGTTTCGTCGAATTATGCTTCTGTTTTTTCATTTTTATTCAGATGTAGCGGCAAAAAGATGGTAAAGTGTAGCATTGTTAGGTTTGCACTTGGTGGATGCAACTGAAAGGCAAATGATAAGAACATTAATAAACGCAGAGCTCGCATGACGATCACAATTCATGAAGTAACGGCGTTGCCCGGGGGTTACAACCAATATATACCGGACGAGGCTCCCGCCGCCCGAAAAAAGTACCTTTTTTGATTCAGGCTTCAGGTATATGAAACGGTAGGGGGTTTTATTATTTGAAGGATATGGAATGGTAGAGAAATCTGTCATTTCGGCCTGTAAAAGGACCCAAAAGAGCAGACAGATGCATTTTAAGGCTGTCAAAAGTCGAGAAAACTTTTCTTGGTTTTGTGATTCATGTATTCATATTTAAAAGTCAGTTGATTTACAACAGTTAAAGGGATGCAAAGTTCTAAACAAGTACATGAAACGAGTGCAATTGGTCATGAATAAAAGCCACGCACACGAAAGGAGTACCTTTTTTTGTCAAAAATGGACCTACGGGTGTAGCCCTCCCGTATAGTAACTTTGTTGATTACCCCCTTCCCCCGGGTTGAGTTGGTGTTGTTGTTGTTGTTGTTTTTGCTGATGTACAAGGGAACCCAACAGGCAAAGATGTTTTCTGAAGAACCTTGAGATTAATATGAAAATGTTAAGTATATATTTCAATGAGAAAGGAGAAAGAAGGAAATAAGCTTCCCACATTAAGTGTATATTAAACTAACATTCATTGCTCTGGATATTAAACTATCTTCAAATGATTATGATTTGATGATTGCTCCAGCCGGTCTGCTTAAAAAATACGACATTAGCACTGAAGAGGGAAAGTATTACCGTCTGTAACCGATTTACGACTTCAGTTTACCGATCAGTACTTAGATAGATAAAGACCTAAATAGAAATTAACGTAGTTCAATTCGATGGCAAACACATACTTAAGACTATATTTTTAGGGACGATACGATTGCGTTTGAGGCCTTTGTAAAATTCTTTTTAACGCCATGGTGTGTACAACAAAAGATCATCGGAAGACTGTTTGACAGGAGGCACTCGAGCTAGATCGACTCTGTTGGTTAAAAAATGTTATTAACAGTGCTTAAAACCAACTGCATGAAAGTAAGACATTCACACTATGTAGAAAAACGTTGATAACATTTCTTATTTTCAAGCTTAAAAGCTGTTATTAAACACTCAAAGAAAACTTAACACAATTCCCGTTCAAAGCCATTACTCTAATTAATTCGCACCAAAACGCAAACTATTCTTTACTAACTCCATTAGTTTTTACCAAGCCATAGTTAAGAGTCGCCCATATGCTTAGAACACGTTAAGCCGACAACATCCCGAAGAAGCAACACTTGGATTATGTTTCTTTCTCCGTGTGGTCAGTTTAATCTTTTAATTGCCCCGGTCTTAAAACCGAGAACAGTAGGCATTACTGAGCTTTACAAACTTACCTGAAACTGTCCGCGTTTGCCTCTCTTTGTATGTTAACATTTCTTTTTGAGCCCTTAAGCGTAAGAAAAGAAAACTTCAAAAAAATGTAACATGGATCTGGTTGTTTTGCCTCTATCGTTGATGTATTAGTACCAAGGTTGTACTGAGGTCGTTGCTAAGCGGTTATACTTTGAAAGTTTCATCTATACGCTTGGAGTAACAAAAGAAACTGCCAGCACAATTAGGACCTAATCCACCGTAGCATGCCGCTTCAATGGAATTCAATGGAAGCAATTAATCACGTAAACGAAAACAGAGGAATCCCAGGGGTCTTTTTAAAATAGCCCAAATCTCGCGGTTAGGAACCATAATATTTGCTGGTCTTTAATTTTTTCTTTTTTCTTATCTTTGGCAGTCAGTTCAGCACGCATTTTAATACGAATTCAAGTACAAGTCAGTTTTTGGCTGAAAGAAAAGTCGTTGGAAAAAAAGACTTTTTTTAGCGGTCCACATTGTGGAATATGCTAAGGTCATTGTAATTCAGAATTTTTTGAATTACTTACTTTTAGACCGCGAAAGAATGAAATGTACCAAGCAGTAGAAATCACGTGTTGTTTACGTGCTCAGTTCGTAAACCGAAAACTCAGCAGAATTTTGAGCGCTGCTGTGAATGATTTAACTAGCCTCGTACCCAGGCCAGTTTGCGCTATCCGAGTTACCAGAGAAGGCTTGGAACCGAGCGCAAATTTTCCCGACAAGCTTGACAGGTGACGTCACATCCGAAATCGCCTAGGACGACTGGGAACCATTCTGTGATTTAACATCCCATTTAAAGGGACAGTGTCCCGATTATGCGCACGCGCGAGCGTCATCTGTTTTTTCTTCAAAAGACAATAAAACTGTCATATTAGAGAGTTTTAGATCCGAGTATACCGCGAACCTCTAACCGCGGTTTGCGGTTACCCGTTTGCGGTTCGACGTTCAAACATAATTCGATTTAGATTGGCGGTGGATTAAATTACGGCAGCCATTTTGAATCAGCAGCCATGAATGGTATTTGTTTTCAAGATCCAATGGGATTTATAAAATTTAGCATTTCGCCCCAATTTGTGCCTCTGGTAATGGATAAAGACTTGCTCCAAAAGATTTTTGTATCATTACGTGGGATGAAACAAGAATTATACGCTAAAATCTTCCAGGTAAATGACATACGTGAAAACCTACCTCCCCACGTTGAAAACGCACGTCGTAAACCTCAAACGTGACGTGAAAGACTTGTCACGTGACCTCCAGCGGTTAGAGGTTTGCGGTAAACTCGGATCTAAAACTCTCTATTAACTCGACAAGATTTCCTTCCGGACCGCACCGCCGACAGAGATTTGTTGTTTGTATTCTCAAGTAATATTTTAAACTTTCAAAAAAGTCTTTCGTCTTATATAAAGATTTGGCTCGCGGTTCGAAGACTTATCGCGATTTTATCGCTAGCTGGGCCGCCTCGCGACCCGAAAATCTCGTTCCGCTCGCTTTAAAAACATATAATCTAATTTGAAACTCGTGTCAGAGGTCAGTTGTTCCAAGTCTAGTAATAGCTGCCTGATTTGCTCGCGTTCTAGCCTCAAACGTTTGAAAGACATAAATAAAAATGCAATCTCAACGCTATGAATCATCAGAAAGGTTAGTCAAAAATTATATTATGATTTCATGGCACTAGTTTTTCTTAACATGTAGCGCCTGTTTGTTTGATTTTGTCGGCCGTTAGGGAGATTCACTTAAAAAAGTTTACTACCTCGTCGTTGCAAAACATTCTGCTTCACGAAGCTCCCCTCCACAATATCTCCTCAGTCACATCATTATCAATGTCTCAATGGCTTCTTTCTTACAGTCTTTATTGTCGCCGTTTCATTTCTGCGTATTCCTTTCACAATCATCTGAGCTTGTATGGAAGCTAGCAGAAGAAATAAGCCTTCAATCGGCATCAAAGTGCTTCCAATCTTTTGGTCCTCCGGCCAACGGCAATAAAAGTAACGCCAAAAAATCCAGATTTTGCCCAAATCGAAACTTGACAGGAACAATATATCATTGATCTGTAATCCTGAGAAGTTTTAGTGTCGTATTGAACCCGGTCAAGCGCGATGCAAACGGATGTTTCAAGGTTCTCTTACTGTCCTCGCATCTTTTGATTTCGCGACATCCTGTCCAAAAATTAAGTTTGGTGCATGCGCAGTAACGGGATACTGTTCCTTTAAGGGAATCCAAGACAGTCTTGGATTCCGGATTCCAGGAAGTGAATCCGAATTCTTTGTCAGTGGAACTTGGCTTCCGGATTCCAGTCGTTGGTGGGATACCGGATTCCTTGAGCTGCATTTGGATTCCAAAGCCCAGGATTCCAGATTCCAAAAACAAAAATTTCCTGAATTCCGGGTCAAGATTCCCTTCATACATGGGGGGAGATAAATACGTTTAATAAATTCATAAGCGCTCTGAAACACTCGCAAGTTTTCTTTACATCAGGCCCCAGTTGCTCAATAGCTGGATAACCGGCTATCCAGCGGCGGTTATCCACGGGAGAAATCACTATTGCACTATCGGTTGGATAGAGATGTGGATAGCCACCTTTTGAACTTTCATTGACTTTAGATTGAGAGTTTGCCTTTCTTTTTTAAAAGCCCGAAAGAAGTCAACCTCTTTGTTTTTAGTCTCAAAATTAAAGGGGTGAATCGCTCCTTTCTTTCAGTGTAGCCCTTAGGAAGGCTAATTTTGTATCTGAATCATTGCCTCAAATAAATCAGCCATTTGCTGCATTGCCAGCCTTGCATTCAGTTTTGTTTTAACTCCCACTTCAAGTGACGTCTGGTATTTGCATCTCTACATTAGAGATCCACCAAGAAAGAACCAGTCGGTTTTATTTAGGAGTTGAATGGACCTCTGCAATCAAGGGTTTTCGCTCTTGCGATACTTTTGCAACGGTGTTTCACGCCAAACCGAGTTCAAGTTTTGCCTTTCCCTTGGGTAACTGATCGCTTTGTAACCGCAAATATGAACGCAACCAAAACCCAGAGCCACAACTCAAAGCTATTTCCCCAACGGGAGATTTGGAGAAAAGCTCCAGTGTAACTACAGCCAATTTTTGGCGGGGACACAACGCCGTATAGAAGACCCTGGGGACGAGGTTGAGTTCCCAGTGTTCTCTGCAGCCTCACGATTGCACTGGGTCGGCCATATTGGACATCAAGAACTTTTACGACCATGATTTCCCGGCTACGTTTAGCCACTAAAATCGGTAATTGTTTATTTTCTTTTTTGAAGTTTATTACTTTGTTTATGACTCTGTAACTCTGCACTGAAAATAGAGTGGTTTGGCTCTGTCAGATCAATGATGTAACTTGCAAAATAGGTTGCAATTCTAAAGTTCATGAGCCAAATATCTGGCGGCGTTATATGTTCTCATGAAGTAAAATTATACCTCTAGATCCTGTTCATTCGCATTAATAGACTAGTGGTACACAACTTCCTTTAAATATGTATAAAAGTCAACTCACATATGGTAGGTTAAAGGAAAAATCTTGGGACAAAACTGGACTTATCATCAATTTATGCTACATGGAAATTTAGGGCTCAGCCACTTGTATATAAGCTTATATAGAAGCTTAAGTAAACTTAAGACCGCGATATATGCCACTTACATTTTACTTTTGAGTTTGAACCTGCTTGGGTAATTGAGTTTGTAGTAACAATATTATCTTATAGGTGGTGCAGCCAGATTGCTGCAACATGGAAGGATCAGGTGAGTGTGGATAAACAACCTTATGGTACATTACGTATACATGGAAGGTGAAATCCTAAGGGTTAGTGGGGTCTGTCAAGCCAAGCTATCTAACCAGGGCAATCATCAGTCATGACTGTATCTATTTTTATTGATCAAACTTTGCTCGCGTTAGGAGACTTTGTGTGTGACTTTATAACTGATTGCCAAATCCAGATAATAGTGCAGTGGCATTATCATCGCCCCTAAAAATGTTTACCTACTAATTCCCCAGATTCAGCTGAGCTTAATCATGGGGGGAACTGGCCAGCATTTGGTTGCTAAAAAGGTGGTGTTTAGTGGCAGTGCACATGCACATCAATGTCTATATGAATTCAGTCCGCTCTTCACTTTGTCTGTCTTGCTTTTAGTATCTGGTCACTTTGTTCTGTGGTCAGATTGCTCCAAGCCAGATTGTTCCACTTTATAGTCACATTGTTTCACAATATAGTCAGAACTTTTCATGAGTCTTTAAGCCATGAGCGAAAACAAGGGTGCTACTGATGTGTATACTTCTTTCTTTTAGCCATGAGCCAAAAAAAGAAACGTGCTTTACATCGAGTTTTACACTAAAACTGTGGTTCGAACGATCTGACCGTAAAATAGAACAATCTGACCATGCAACGATGCAGGGTTTGAGCCAGCTTTATTGCCTCAGGAGACAATTTGTCCCTCTGTGGCCCTTGCAAAGGGACAAATAGGCAACAGCAGGGGACAGAAAATATCTTATTACATTGCCTTTCTCCTATCCAATAAAGTGTCTTTCTGTTGCCCAAGAAAAAAAAAAAAGAAAACAACTTTAATCCAATGCTATGGCTGGTTTATTTAAGCATACAAAAATGTATATAGTGGGAATGGTAATTGTTAATTTAATTTCAGTTTTACAGTTTGTAAATTTACACTACAGTAATACTTTGATTCCTGAACAGTGACCAAACTTGCTGTCTAATGCACAGTTTAAGTAAATAGAAACTTTTAACATGTTCTCAAATTTATAGCAGACACTGAATAAGAAAGTTAGGATGAAACAATTTCATTCCATCTTTTCGTTTACAAGAGAAGTCAAATGTTTGTAGCATAGAGAGTTTTTAAAGCGTAAATAAAGGCAGATGGTTCAGGTTTTGGCTCTCATCTTTTCATTGTTCTATTCCCTGTAAGCCACATTAAAGTCAAACTTTCTTTTAGGGCCTTCAATGTCAATTGTCATCAACACATTTAGGCGAGAAGTACTTAGCCTGAGAGCAGTTTTTATGCAATTTTGTTATCATTCAACTATTTCATCTGAAAATTGCGAGGTTTTGAATTAGGAAGTTGAGCATCAGTTTCTTCTCGTGATCCTTCCTCGCATATGAATTTGTTTTCAGTTTTCTCTTCTTGGTCGATGGTTTTACTTCTTTCACTTCAAAATAACTCAAGATTTTCCTCTTGGACATTGTTCCAAAGAATATATCTGATGACAAACAGAGCAGGGCACTTTGGTCCACAGATAAAATGAGCTGTAAACATGTGCATGTTTAAAGCCACTCATGCATGCAATGCTGTTCTCATGTTACTTCCAAATATGGTGATCCTCAGTAGGTTATTAGTATTTCAAGCCATTGATTTCAAAACAGCACGTGACAGGTTTGGAATGCTGTCCAAGGTCGGAACGCGAGTGAATGGTGTTTTTTGATAAGGCGCTGATAAACGATTTTTATTCAGTTATTTTAGCGATGATAATAATAATATGAATATGTGAAATGTTAGCCGGCAAAAAAATACATTATTTTTAAAATAACACCGTCCTGGCTTTCTGATCTGTATGAATTTGTACAAACTTCTTCCATTTAGTTTGGACCTAGAGGAACATTTATGGCCCGTCCATCTAATTTTAAGGGAGAAATTGTCCTGCAAGGGGGAGAATGTTGCAAGTTCGCGCTCTGGCTCAAACCCTGAATGACGTGACGATAAACCTTGCTTTCACTTCATTGCTGTTAAGAATTTTCATAAACAATGAGCTACATCAGCTAGAACTTTATCAGCTAGCTCTTATGTCAAGCTCTACACCTCCAGCGTGCAAAGAAAGTAGTGTCAGATAGCCCGGGGCTAGTGGATTTTGCTATCGGGCTAGTGAATTCTATTTTTAACTTGCCCAATGGGCAAGTGATGTTTTTCGAGAAATTCGTATAACAGAAGAACTGTGAAATCAATTCTGCTTGTCAAAAAGTTTTTTGGTCTAGTTAAAGTGACGTCTGGGCTAGTAAATGCTAGCTTCAGCTTGCCTGCATGGCAAGTTGTAAAAATGATTTTCTTTGCACCCTGACCTCTTATGCATAAAATTAGCACAAGGGAAGTTGTATGTCATTATATTGCATCTCCATTAGATAATAATTTGTCCAGTTGATCTAAAATTACTTATTTTCTCTCAGTGTTCCAGCAACTACAAGGCTGATGTGTCAAGTTCCAGAAGCCAAAGGTATCATTATTGATTTGCAGATGTTCTTTTCTACGGTTTTAAAAGTGTACATCCCCAGGCCCTGGCCATTCAAACATTGGATAGTGCTCTCCATAAGATAAATTCATTACTATCCAGTGGATAAGTGTGAGGGAAAACAATTGGCATTATCCCTTGGATAGAGATTTTTCCAGTGGATAAAACACTATTAATTTTTATTATTAATTACCTCGTCCACCTTTAGGACATCTTGGCCCATTGCCTCAATCTGCAACTGTTTTGATTGCCATGACAGTGGAAAAAAATAAGAGCAACTTATATTACTTCATATGGCACCAATTTCCTGACCATTGTGCTGCTATGTTTTAAGGGTAATGTTGTAAGACACTATTAAGCCACAAAATCAATCTTCTCTGCCGTCCCTTCTTTTGATATGCTACTTTTACACACACATAGTTACCTTCATACAATTATGCTTTACACTGCTTTACTTTTGATAGAAGATGAACCAGAGTTTGGACAGTTTTTTAAAGATATCAGTACCATGCTGAAGGAAAAGACTGGAGAAACAGGTGAGAATATGTAACAAAACTTTTTGTGGGTTTCTCACAAGAATGAAGATAAATGAAAGAGAAAAATACCTATTCAACCATTAATATTTCAGGTCCTTCACTTCTCATTGGAGGATTTCTTGCATATGCACTCTCAAAAGAATTACTTGTTCTTCATGATGAGGTACTTATGGTTAAAAGTTAATAATTAATTTTACTTGTAGTGTTTTTTCCTTTAAAATAAGGCTGTCCAATCCATTGAATCCATTCCAATCTATTGAAGGGGTGCATGGCCTTATTTGCTTAAAATAGTGAAGGAACATTTAAATAAGAAAATAATGATGAAAGAATGCACAGGTGGACAAAAGTGAAGAACATTATAACCAAATATCAGGGGCACCCAATGACTGTTTTTTGTAAAATATCTGTTCGGAGAAGCAAGTATTGCCTAGAATGTTCTATTACTTGAGGAAGGCTAAAAATTTCTAGATGACTGTTCCATTCATGTAAAATTTTCAAAGCTTATCTAATAAATTCCTTATGAGTTTGATTTTTCACATTTCACACCCCAGGTTGGGCTATTTTTCGTAGGAAAAAGGAAACCTAAAATTTTGGGATCCAAAAATGTGATGGAAACAGTAATCAAAAAAAATTTTCCTTTTTGTAATGTGCTAAATTTCACCTAACATTTTCGGGAACATAATACTGAAGCCCTAGTAATTTCGAAAAGACTCAAGTTGCCCTAGGATGACCGAACAGATACAAATTTTATAGCGCCGCTTAGAATGCATTTCTAGAGGTCTAAAAATACTCTGGATAACCTAAAAAGTGTTTTAAATGAGTTTGGGTGGAAACCGCCATTGGGTGCCCCTGAAACATGCATTGGGTTTTTTATAAACTGTCTAGCCTAACAATTTTTCAAAGTTTACTTTTGTTGTGTAATTTTGAAAATGTTTATTATAATGCCTGTGACACACATTTACTTGATATGAAGTTGTCATTTTGTAATTTAGAAGTAACGTCATGTCTTACATTATTTGTCATAGTGAGCATTTATCAAACTAAAGTAGCTGGACTGAACTGCTATGACATAGCCTGTTCTGTGGCATTTTGTTACAAGGGTTGAGGCATTTTGTTACTGTTGCAACTTATGCATCTTTTTAATAAGGGCTGTGGCATTTTGTAATGAATGGAAGCTACTGGTATGCAGGGCTTTAGCATTTTGTAATAATTGTTAGTCCATGCAATTTGTAACAATGTCCTGATGCAAATTGTCAGTAGACCTGCACCATTCTAAACCTCTTATTTTACTGGTCCCCTTTAATCACCTCCATTGTTTTCAGGGATAGGGGCATTGTTGTGTGACAGTCCCTATTGTTTTCCCAGCTAATCAAAAACAATCTTTCAAACAGGTGCGAGATCGCCCCAAATTGAAATAACCTTTTTTGCAAAAACAATGTACAAACAAGTGGGAAGTACAAAAAAATTGCTGTTATAAAACACATAGTAATTACATTGAAATGCACATATTGCAAAATGCTGCAGGACATAGTTCCTTTTGAGCTAATTTGCTGCTTTGTCTGCCTTGTCCTTGATTTCACTTCTTAAACATTGTTTTGCAGACTGTTCTTGCCGGTGTCATGGGAGCAACTCTTTATGTCCTTGCCCGAAAGATCAGCCAGCCAGTAAGAGAGTTTCTCGATGGCAGATCTCAGGTTAGTAAGTGGGGCCTGTTGCACATTAAGTTTAAAAATCTGTCTCATAAGTTTCATTTTACCACAGCGAAAGCAGCTGTTATTTACCATAACAGTTATTTACCTCTGTGGTACCAACTTTTTCTTTAATGTTAACAACTTCTATTGATGAAACAGGGCATCCTTGATATGTTTAATGAAGGCCGTAACGCTGAAATTGGGGAATTAGAGAAGCAAATAGAAGAAGTGAAGAAAGTTGAGTACATGCTGACGGCCAGGAAGGATATTGTGGAGGTCATGCGGGTAAGATTGTACATCTAGTTTTCCTAAGCATTTCTGAATTCCATATGTACACGGGTCAAGGTCAATTTAATCAATGGTTGAATGGAAAAGAGAAGTATGCCCCCTTGCCAAAACTCAGCCTGTTAGTGCAAATTGGTGGGTAGATATAAGCACAGGTTTGCACTGATGTCTCCATATAAATCCTGCTAAAACTGGCTTGGATAGTAATGTTAACGATCCTGGTCTATTTTAGCAGGATTTATATGGAGTCATTGGAGCACAACGTTATCTCTACGCCAATTTGAACCAACAGGCTGATTTTTCGAAAGTGTACATTTTTCATTTTTTTTGTCTTTCTTGATATGCCAAATAATCCCATAAGTTAACAAATATAGTTTTTGTGACATCATCATGACCTCTTTTTTATAACCATGAAGAATATGTTGTGGTTAATGTTGAGAAGGTGGAAACTGAAAAGTAAAAACTATTGTATGAAGGGCCTTTCAAACAGTTACAAAATTTGAAGAAAACAACCTCCTTTTATGCACAAAAGAAGAAGAGCACGTAATTAAAGGCTGTTGTTTCATCACTTACTTTGTGTGTTTTTAGACCCTGCTGATAGTGTGCATTGCCAACATGCTACCTCTTTAGAACTGCCTGGTACAGCTGCATTTTGTCATCTTTCATTACAAAAAATTTATTTATATACACTTTTCAAATACATTTGCATTATTGACTTGTATCTAAATTCTTTCGCATTTACCAACATGAACATTGTATGTTACTGAAACTGATGATAGTGTTACTATAATCTATAATAATATTTGTGGGTAAATCTGATTCACAGTGGTTCAATGTAGGTGTAAATTAATTTAAAGTAAGATTATTAAATGCTGCAATGTTAATCTGGAAGCATCTGATGTTGGTAAAAAAACCTTTGCTTTTTGCAGGAAAATAATGCTATGGCTCTGGAACTTAACTACCGCAATAAGCTTCATGAAGTTGTCAGAGAGGTCAAGAAACGCTTGGTAAGAATTTCTGTTATGTCTGGTGACAAAGTGTTACTTTTGTTGTGCAATTGTTTATATTTCTGTGTTTTAGCATTAGAAATATCATTTGCTTCCTCTTTGTATTTCTTTGACCTGTTGTCTATGCTATACACGTAAATTGAATTTCAAGGATTAAAAATGAATGCATATTAATTGCAGGATTATCAAGCAGAGATTGAAGCTTTTCAGCGAAGAACAGAACAGCAGCATATAGTTGACTGGGTGGAAAGAGAAGTTGTAAAGAGTATTTCTCCTCAGCTGGTATGTACCATGTGTAGGGAATAGAAGGCAATAAAGTGTCTCTAACTGACTGCAGATAAGTACTAAATACCTCTTCATAATCAAGTTTAATGTCCATACTGCAAGTTACGGACTGAGTAATGATAATCCGTTCCTTACAGTATGGACCAAGAAAACAAGGTCAGTAAGATAATTATTATTTTACCTAGTGGTACAGGAAAGGAAAGGAAACATTCAAACTTAGCAGGCCCTACAAATTATAGAATTTTTGGCCTCAAGGCTTTGCTCTAAGAAAAATTGAAGGGAGGCCAGTGCTCTAAACTTGTGAAATCCAGTGTGCCCAGCAAATGATTTCTATGAAAAAGCAAAGATTTTCTAGTTGCCCGAGAACAAAAGTTATGCGCCACGGGCCACCAGGCTCTGCTAGAGCACAGCCTTGGGCCTAGAAAATTGATCAATCACAGTGTGCAGTAGCCTCCCCGCAGACGTCCTTTGGGGTTTGAAATGAATGCGTGACAAACGAATGCCAAAGGACGTCTGCGGGGAGGCTGAGTGTGCAGAATTGTCACTGAGATTTCAAGTTACTGCGTAGATACAACAAGTAGGCTAGGAATCAAACAGCCAGGGGTTTCTTTTGGTTCTATTTTCCTTCTATTTTCCATTGAAAATAGCCAGGGGAACGTTCATAGTAGCTGGGGGAAATTCCCGGCCCCTGGCTCTTAATGACGGCCCTGCGGTGGGCATACTAACTGAGAGATGTAATACTATACAACAACTTATTAAAGAGGGCCTAGAGGAGAGGATGGACAGAGGTTGAACCGTGCTTTTAAGTCTTGTGTTCATGATTTCACTCTGATGGTCTCACTTCCCTCTGTCATCACCCATGTTTGGAAATAAAGAAGGAGAACAGCATCTGAATTATGATACCATAAGACATGAGGAAAGGTAGCAGTAATCTGAAAATAAAGGAGTTGAATGAAAAAACGCTTTGACTTCAGTTACCAACAGTCTGTGGAAAAATGGAGCTCAATGGAAGTAAACTATCCCTTATACAATATTATGTATATATAATATTATATATATACATAATATTATGTATATATATTTCTTATTAATAAGTTATATAAGTAGTGTCCCCGATTAGTAGGCCTGACGGCAAGCTAGAAGACTAGACACTTAAATAAAGTTGTTGATTGATTGATTGATACATATTATGCTGTTTCACAAGCAAATGGAGTGCTATTATAAAATGCTTTGTCTGATGACCAGATTAACTGTAATTTAATATCTGATTGCTCTTCAGGAGAAAGAAAGTGTCAACCAGTGTATAAAAGATCTAAAAGCTATGGCTCCAGCATAGTGTTTTGTTTTTTACTATCAAGATTTGGCCAGTGTTATGGCACTGCTTTTGTGAATAAACACTGTATGCCCATTATTGGATTTGTACTTCTGTGTCTCATGCGACAATGGTTGATTGCCAAATAAAGCTAAGTTTAAATTTGGTTTTATACCTGGTGTCACAGTTTCTTGACTGTTACTGTTACTTTGTCAAACAACATACATGTACATACAACTCTTATATGTACTATTGAGCAGTTTGATGGGTAATATCTCTGCAGGAGTTTTGAGAAAGCAAAATGTTAAAATTTTTATGCTCAGCACAATGCAAAGAAAGTCAGCTTTACATTTTGCCATTTGTGTAAGCTGTAGCTAGCCTGTACTAACCCAAAAGCCATTTCAACTGGCCTGAAAAAAATTTTGATGAGCAGGGTTGATTACAGTTTCTCTGCGATTTGAATTCCCCCAGCAAACTTCACTCAAGAGCAGGATTCACTACCCCAATAGCAAAATCCAATAGCCATGGGCTATTGGACATGACTTTCTTTGTATGCTGCTCCTACTTGGGTAGCCTATCAAAAAACAGGATTTGCTTCATGTTGCCTGCTCCTTGAGGTAGCCATTATAATAAACAATATCTACTGTGTTACCAAAAATTGTCCTGCGTGACTAACATGACATTCTAGAAGCTTTGCGAGAGTTCATAGTTTGTTTATTTTAGGATTTTTAGTAAGCCTTTCCAAAGCCGTATATTTTCTAGACTTTGTCTAATTAGACTATTTGGGAAAGTTTTAGAATTTATTCCAAGGTTATATTATTTGATGAGTCTAAGTGAAATTTTAACTTACTGTCACAAGCAAAGAGAGTTTAACGTTGGTCGTGTTTAGTCAAGTGTGATGGAAGCAGTGTTTATTCAAGTTGGCGTGGGCCGAGTAACTTTATCGAGTTATGTGCTGTACTTGGTGGAAACTACATTCATATTTGGAGTAAATCTTCTTGTTGCTGTTCGGACAACCCTGCGATCAGTTTAGTTTGGAAGCTACCAATCCTCTCAAAGATTACCCGCATAACATACTGTTCAGTGCAAAATACATGATGAGGCTTTACTAAGTATGAGCAAACCAACAATAATTAATTTTGTCTAGATTTTTTATTTTTATCAATGTTTTAAATATTCTATCATTGGTACACTATTTCAAAGACCAGTTCATGCACCACAAAATATTTCATAAGAATATTTGACTAAATGTAATATCAAGAATAATAATTATGTCCTACGACCATTAGAAAACTGGTGATTAACTCTTTTTTACTAATCTGCACAACCTTTGGTGGAAAACAACTGAAAATGAACCATGTATCTGTTAAATAATTATGAAGATATAAAATTTTATACCTACGAGGAGTAGATGCACCTGTTGGACAAAAAATAGTTCTTTGATATTTTTTAAATAATTTTTAGTCCCGAAAAAAACCCGCTTTGCTAATTTAGTTGGTCTCTGATGCAATGGAGATCAGGATCAAGAGATGTTTCTTGATACTTTCAAATGTCTCTTCTCTGTACTTTTAAGTAACATAATTTTGGGTAGTTTCTTGGTGTTGATGACAAGTGTAGTCACCAAATGATGTAATACAAACATTGAAATGAAAATGAACAATAACCACGCCACAAAACAAAAGTGAACCAACAGTGGTTACTGCGACACCAAGAAACTGAAGAAACACCCTCATTTTGCTTTACTTTGGTGTAAGATCATTTTGATTGTAGATTACGAACAGTCTCTCTTTTTCTTCAGATTTAGTAAGGGGAGTGCACGCGCGCGCGAGCGTTGAACGGCAAAAATGAGGGCAGCAGCCCAAGAAGTCACGCACGTGGTCATTTGCATTTCTCGGGCATTTTGCTTGACAGACCAAGAAAAAAGAGAGACTGCTTGTAGTCTATTTTGATTATTCTGAATGTGAAAATATTAAAATAATTATTTTACCTTCTATTGAATTTCAAGTTTTAAAACCGTAGTTGTGTGAATTTAGGCATGCTCAATATTGTGTTCTCACCATCTTTCAAACTCTAATATTATACTAGTATAGTGTAATGTTACAATAATTTAGAATTGACAAACCAATAGATAAAAATATATTAAAATTTTGACTCATTTCGAACAATCATAAAAGATCAAAAACCTTGATTACCTAATGATCACAATGTGAACTTTCACTGGCAAACAAAAACGGAGGGTCTTCTTTGACCATCAATAACATCTATAATTCTTGACCTAACAGGCAAGTCCACAGTACCGCCATTTTCATCAATCTTGAAGGCCTCTTTCAAAGAGGCCACCTGGGAATCAACTAGGTTACCATTGTGATGAATAGTGACCCATTTGTCACCCACATTCACAAACTGACCAACTCGCACACTAAGTGTAGCACCAATGCCATGATCAACCTTGCTACCGGCATGATGTCGTCCTGCTCCCAGCTCATGAAGCACTTTTGCTATTGCCAAGGCATGTATTTCAGACACTATTCCACTTTTATCACTCACAAGCTCCATTTTTTGGGAAGCAAGGGGTAGAATGCTGAATGGGTCTGAGCCAGGGGTACAAAGCTCTTGTGCCAGATCTGGCTTGACACCCTGTGCTGTCAGCATCTCACAGAATTTGTGAAGAGCTTTACCATTATCCAAGCTGTCAGCAATGAGTTTTTTGCCATCTTCCGCTGAATCCACTTTCTTTAAAGTATGAAGTAGATAACCACCTTGAAAGAAAAAGCAACATATTCAATTTTAAGGTTGCAAAGTTACTGGGAGGGGTATTGTACCTGTTAATTCTCCTCTGAACCAATTATGCACATCACAGAGTAATATGCCTCCGTTCTAAGGTTCCAAGAAATAAAATGAATGCTAGATCCCCACTAACAGTTGCTGGAAGTTTGGGAGTCAGGAAATATCACAGCCAGGGTGCAAAGAAAGTAAGTTGTAAAGGCAAGCTGTAGCTAGCATACACTAGAAGGATTAATTACAGTTCTTCTGTAGTTTGAATTCCCCCCAAAACTTCACTTGTTAAGAACAGAATTCACTAGCCCGATAGTAAAATCTACTAACTCTGGGCTTTGGGACACACCTTTCTTTGCATGCTGATAGCAGTTGCAAGATACTTGTTGTATATTTGAGAAATGGTAAACGTGCAGCGTGCAACCATGGAGTTATGGATGCACGGGGCAGGTTGCTAAGCATGAAAGAAGCGTAAGAGTTGCACGAGGCGATAGCCGAGTGGAATTCTAGCTTCTTGAGTCCTAAGCAAACCTCCCAAGTGCATCCATAACTCCATGGTTGCACAGCTGCAACGTTTACTGTTTCTTGCATAACATAATCAAAAGAGAAAACATTTTCAGTTGCCTTCGGTTGAGTCATCAGTATGTGTTCATGTATATTACCATCTGCCCGCTCTTGAGTAAATTGTGTTTTTAAAAAACTTGCCTTTGATTTTCTCTATCGCTAAATCAACTGTTTTCCGTCTACAGGCAAATAATTTGGTCTTACAACCAGGACTCTTAAACGAGGGGTCTTACAACCAAGGGTCTTACAACCAGGGGTCTTAAAACCAGGACTCTTACAACCAGGGGTCTTACAACCAAGGGTCTTACAACCAGGGGTCTCACAACCAGCACTCTTACAACCAGGGATCTTACAACCAGGACTCTTACAACCAGGACTCTTACAACCAGGACTCTTACAACCAGGGGTCTTACAACAAAGGACTCTTACAACCAGGGGTCTTACAACCAGGACTCTTACAACCAGGGGTCTTACAGCAAGGACTCTTACAACCAGGACTCTTACAACCAGGGATCTTAGAACCAGGACTCTTACAACCAGGACTCTTACATCCAGGACTCTTACAACCAGGACTCTTACAACCACGACTCTCTTACAACCAGGACTCTTACAAAAGGGACTCTTACAACCAGGACTCTTACAACCAGGGGTCTTACAACCAGGACTCTCAGAAAAGAAACTCTTACAACCAGGACTCTTACAACCAGATCAGGTCTTACAACAAGGACTCTTAAAACCAGGACTCTTACAACCAGGGGTCTTAAAACCAGGACTCTTACAACCAGGACTCTTACAACGAGGGGTCTTACAACCAGGACTCTTACAACCAGGGGTCTTACAACCAGGACTCTTACAACCAGGGGTCTTACAACCAGGACTCTTACAACCAGGGGTCTTACAACCAGGACTCTTACAACCAGAGGTCTTACAACCAGGACTCTTACAACGAGGGGTCTTAGAACCAGAACTCTTACAACCAGGGGTCTTAGAACCAGGACTCTTACTACAAGGGGTCTTACAACCAGGACTCTTACAACCAGGGGTGTTACAACCAGGACTCTTACAATCAGAGGTCTTACAACAAGGACTCTTAAAACCAGGACTCTTACAACCAGGGGTCTTAAAACCAGGACTCTTACAACCACGACTCTCTTACAACCAGGACTCTTACAAAAGGGACTCTTACAACCAGGGGTCTTACAACCAGGACTCTCAGAAAAGAAACTCTTACAACCAGGACTCTTACAACCAGAGGTCTTACAACAAGGACTCTTAAAACCAGGACTCTTACAACCAGGGGTCTTAAAACCAGGACTCTTACAACCAGGACTCTTACAACCAGGACTCTTACAACGAGGGGTCTTACAACCAGGACTCTTACAACCAGGGGTCTTACAACCAGGACTCCTACAACGAGGGGTCTTACAACCAGGACTCTTACAACCAGGGGTCTTACAACCAGGACTCTTACAACCAGAACTCTTACAACCAGGACTCTTACAACCAGGGGTCTTAGAACCAGGACTCTTACAACCAGGGGTCTTAGAACCAGGACTCTTACAACCAGGGGTCTTACAACCAGGACTCTTACAACCAGAGGTCTTACAACCAGGACTCTTAAAACCAGGACTCTTACAACCAGGGGTCTTAAAACCAGGACTCTTACAACCAGGACTCTTACAACCAGGACTCTTACAACCAGGGGTCTTACAACCAGGACTCTTACAACCAGGGGTCTTACAACCAGGACTCCTACAACGAGGGGTCTTACAACCAGGACTCTTACAACCAGGGGTCTTACAACCAGGACTCTTACAACCAGAGGTCTTACAACCAGGACTCTTACAACGAGGGGTCTTAGAACCAGGACTCTTACAACCAGGGGTCTTAGAACCAGGACTCTTACAACCAGGGGTGTTACAACCAGGACTCTTACAACCAGAGGTCTTACAACAAGGACTCTTAAAACCAGGACTCTTACAACCAGGGGTCTTAAAACCAGGACTCTTACAACCAGGACTCTTACAACGAGGGGTCTTACAACCAGGACTCTTACAACAAGGACTCTTACAACCAGGACTCTTACAACCAGAGGTCTTACAACCAGGACTCTTACAACCAGGACTCTTACAACCAGAGGTCTTACAACCAGGACTCTTACAACCAGGGGTCTTACAACCAGGACTCTTACAACCAGAGGTCTTACAACCAGAACTCTTACAACCAGGGGTCTTAGAAGCAGGACTCTTACAACCAGGGGTCTTAGAAGCAGGACTCTTACTACCAGGGGTCTTACAACCAGGACTCTTACAACCAGGGGTGTTACAACCAGGACTCTTACAACCAGGACTCTTAAAACCAGGGGTCTTAGAAGCAGGACTCTTACTACCAGGGGTCTTACAACCAGGACTCTTACAACCAGGGGTGTTACAACCAGGACTCTTACAACCAGGGGTGTTACAACCAGGACTCTTAAAACCAGGACTCGTACAACCAGAACTCTTATAAGCAGGGGTCTTACAACCAGGAGTCTTACAACGAGCGGTCTTAATCATAACCACGACTCTTACCACCAGGGGTCTTACAACCAAGACTCTTACAACCAGGGGTGTTACAACCAGGACTCTTACAACCAGGGGTGTTACAACCAGGACTCTTACAACCTGATTCTGAATGGCATCTCTCTACTTGCTCTTAATATTAGGGTAAATACTTTGAGGGAAAACTACAGCTGCAACTATATAAGTTTAAACACTACCTAAAAAGACTCTAAAAAACAAGCTCAACGTAATAAGCTAAAACTTTAACAATTATCAACTTGAAGGTTTTTTGTGTGATAATTTTTTAAATAAACGTAACGTAGAAACGAGAAAATTTGACTTTATTTCCTTTAGAATAACAGGTAACACTGATGTTAAAAAGGAATAAACTGGATTTGTATCAAAATCTGTCTGAAGAAATCCAGCTACGAAAGTCAAAATTACAACTGAAATTTTCCGACACAGTCGGCGCTGAAGCTGTTGGTTTTTGACCGTTCTCTGAACTGCTGTTATGAATGAACATGAACAAAGTAATATACACAGAAGTCATTTTTTGAAAATTTATTTGAAAATTTAAATGGTTCTGTACTCAAATGAAATTCACTTTAAGTGTAATGTGCCCTTATAAACTCAACTAAAATTTTAATCGATGGGATGAAATCTACACAACAAAGCTGTCTCGAATTTGAGCATGTTTCCTTAAAAAATTTGCTTGAATTTAACATCAGCTCGACCAAAAAGAGGTGAGGGTAAAAGATGGAATGAGTTTGCAGAATGGCATGCTTGCGGAATGGCATAATTATGCTGAATGTAAAATATGGAAAATGGCACAAAGAAATAAATAATTATTAAACTGAAAAGCATGCGCGCGTCTTTGCTGTGCCTTGTTTTGGTGCCAACTTGAGCGAGCAACTGCTTTGCTGGTCCACTTATTACTGCTGGCTCAAACCAACAAGGCAGAACAGAGAGTAGTCATAAGCTTTACTGGATTCGTGTCTATGTAGTACTTATTTAATACTTAAAAAATTATTTATTTTTGGTGTTTTCGACAATACTTTCTTTCTTTCTGCCTACCATTATAATATAGTCAAATGTCAAAACGCTAGAGGGAAAAGAACGCTTTTTGAATGTGAATTCAGGCTAGCTACTATTCCAAGGATCAGATCATAATTTGAGCTTGACTAAATGAACGCCCCAAGTCAAACATTTCAAATCTGAAATCCAGAAATCTAGTGAAGCGAACTGCGTTCTCTGTCTCCTTTGGCTTTTCCGCATGGTGGTCTTTGCACTATCCTTGTTTGAATGAGTGTGCATTTGATTATGAAAAATACTAAAACAGTAGGAAGGGAAAAAAGAAAGAAAAAAAGGTCACACAGACTCCATTGCCAGGATTCAAACTCGCCTTTCTCCGCCAGCTGTTAGCATCACGTGCCAGAAACTTAACCACCCAGCCAAGGAAACAAAAAACAAGATCTGTTTCATCTCTGAACATTATGTCAGGATCACGTAACCCGCCGTCTGAAAAAGAAACACTTCTCAAGCGGTTTCAAATTCAAATATAGGTAAAAGGAAACTGCTAAGTTACTTGTGCAATCATCTTGTTTTGCAAGAAAAGTTAAAGTAGAAGGGAGCATGACCGTCCAAAACATCTTTTGTTAAATGGCCGACTTTTGTCATGTAGTACTTGTCACTGGTGCCATGTAGCCCGACTAATAAAGGCAAGAAGAATCTTTGTGGCTATGCGGAAGGCTAATTGGCAATGAGCCTTTGTGACTTTTTTATCGGTGTCATCCTATGTCGAGCTCCTAACATTAAAACAACAGCTCTGTTTGCAAATTGATTGGCGCCAAAAAAGGGGGAAATTTTCAGTTAATTTATTTCTTTGGGTTATTCTCTGCATATGACATTCTGCATAATTATGTCATTCCGCAAGCCATGCCACATACCACTCCGCAAACTCATTCCGCCTTTTACCCTCAGCGACCAAAAAGTCAATAACACAATGCTAACTGATAAATTTCCATTTCAAACAGATGTACACACAAGATGTACCTTAAATCTTTGCTCACTCGGTTTTTCTTCTGCCGATTCTAGCAGCAAGGAAAACAGTGATTAAATTCCTCCAAGGCAAATTTGTCGGTCGATCTTTTGACCTTTTTTCTTCAAAATGACAACTGAGTAAATATTTTCTTTGACTTCCACTTTTCATTTGTGCATTTCATTGGTGCATTTTACTGTCGGGAGAGGAGATTTGCTGAATTTGCCTAAATTATACCGCGCTAACTCATGGCGTGCACCCACAATCAAATGGTGGTGGCTAACTGACCAATCAGAGCGCGATTTACTTTTGTTATGTTATAATGCTAAGTGCGTAATTTTATATAAACTTCTGACAACTTATAATAAGGGTCTCATTTTAGCAAGTCTGGGATATTTTTAGCAACAAGTCCAAATTGCTGGAAACAGTCATGATATTCTAGAAATGGGCCTTCTTACCTTCTTCACACACCAACTCCGTCAAGTCCTCAGGGCCCTTTCCATTCAGGCAGCTGATGGCTTCAGCAACTTCTACAGAGTTACCAACTAATCTTCCAAGGGGTGCATCCATGCTGGTGATAAGGGCCACTGCCTTGATCCCAAGTCCTTTGCAGGTTCCTACCAGACTATGTGCGAGGGCTCGAGCCTTTTCTTCTGTGGTAGAGAATGCTGCTTTGCCGGACTTCACATCAAGTACCAGGGCTGAAATGCTTTCTGGAATGGAAAACAGGCAGCAGCGCTAATTAATTTTTGAGTTTTCAGGTATACAAGTTTAGGGTGCTTATTTGAAGATGGGACCATATATAATGTATTAGTTTAGAGGGCACTAATCATAGCATTTAGCACAGTACATGTACCTTTCAAGGAAGATGTGTGGATATTTTGTGAATGACATTACCAAACACTACAGGCAATTACTAGACATACCAGAAGCTTTCTTGGAAATAATGGAGCTGGATATAAGAGGCATGGATCCTACTGTTCCAGTGATGTCCCTTATACCATACAACACCTTATCAGCAGGGACAAGTGAATCTGTCTGTCCCACAATGCAACAGCCAACTTTCTCCAGGATGTCACACATCTGCTTGGAATCCATGTTTACTTGGAAGCCTGGGATGGACTCTAACTTGTCCAGGGTCCCACCTTCATTAAAACAACATTTTTCAATAATTATTGTTATAATTATTGTCCATAGGTTGTCCCATCAAGACTTCCATGAGGAGCCAAGGTAATTGGCACCTGCTTCCCTGAATTTATACTAATTATAGACTAATAATTATTAAAGATTGTTATAAATAGGCTGTCCAATTGCCTCCATGATGGTTTTTTGGAAAAAATTATTATAATACTCAGCTTTCTCGTAAATTACCTCTTTTTTTGCGAATGTTCCTGGCCATATATATGGAGATATAAGACATGGAGAAAAATGTTTGCAGGCTTAATTTGCCACACATGATCAGGTTGCAGTACACACTTTATTCTTTTTCTTGGATTTTTAAGAGCATATAAAAGTATAGAATTAAGGAATAGAGAAGACTGTGCCAGGAAAATCGGAGGTGACCAGGAATGAAGACAATAAAATTAATGTTATAACAATATTTTACAGAGGGAACTTATCCAATGTTTCTCCTACATAATTATATACCTTACAAGCACTGGCTCTCTACCTTACTAGCAAGAAAAATTCTCTTCCCAACATGTCCAGGGAGATCAAAGGACCCCTTCACACAGGATATCCTTACAACATTGATACTAACTGTTTCTTAAAAGCTGGGCTTATAATTGTTAAAGGTATATGGCTCTTTGCATGACTTGATCACCTGATCAACTTTAGATAAACACAAAAACAGTTCCCTTTTGAAAAATTCCGTTAGCACAAGCTGAACGAGCATATTAAAAATAGGTAGCCTGAGAATTTTCAACCGTATATCTCAACAGTAGTGATTGCAACGGCTGCTGAAAGTTGGAAGCATTTGTATGAGAAAAACAACTTCTGCCATCCAGTCACGCTAGCATGGTTTTCCACACAATTCCTTGTAATTTTGAAATTTTCAAAACTGTCATGAAATATTTCCTTAAGCATTACAGGGCTTAAATCTCCTTTTAATTCACAACAGACAATTTGAGCCCTTAAATGCATAAGAGAAAGATCAAACGACAGTTTAAAAATTTTAGAATTTACAAGGATTTGTATGGAAAACTATGCAAGCGTAACTGGGTGGCAAAAGTTGTTTTTCTCAAACAAATGCTTCTAAAGCCTGGTTTCCATATGATCGTCCAGATCGTCCCGATCACCCCAGTCGTTTCAAAATATTTCGAGACGATCCAGACAATTGGGGTGATTGGTAGTTTCCATATGATCGTCTCGATCGCCTTAAAAGCAAGAGACCTGGGGTCGTTAGCGATGTCTCTGGGTCAGACAATAGAATTTTTGAGCACGTTTTGCAAACAAGCCAATTGGATGATCTTTGTTCATAAAGCAAACCTCGTACCTTGGTATCTGCTTTTTCTCTTGATTTTGCGGCATTGAGAAGCTAGAAGAGTTCCCCAAAGACATAGTATCTCTTTGAAAACTTGATGTCATGGACTTTCTAATTTCAAATAACCCCCATGCACGCTGCGAACATTTGTGTATTATTTCTTCGGCTTCACCGCCATCCGAGCTGAATTTATTCTCGATTACTGGAATAAAAGTGATGACTTCTGGGATAGCCTTTGATTGTCCCGATCATCGCAGTTGTCTGAGAGGGTTTCCATATGATCGCTTCAAAATTTACATGATCGTCTGGATCGTCTGGATAGAACTCAACTATATCCAAGCGATCGAGGTCGTCTCAGTCGTCCGGGTCGTTTGCGATCGTCTGGGTAGCATTTCCCGACGATCAGGATGATCATATGGAAACCAGGCTTAACTTTCAGCCGCCGTGCTATTGCTACTTTTGAGATGTACGGATGAAAATTCTCAGGTTACCAAATTCGTATTTGCTCTTTCAGCTGGTGCCAAGAAAATTTTTCAAAAGCGAACTGTTTTCATGTTTACTGAAAGTTGATTATGTGACCACAGTCATGCAAAGAGCCTATTAGACCATTCTTTCATCCGCCCTGGGTATATCCCATCACAACAGCCTTAGCAACAAGCTAATTTGCATTTAACTGTGGCCCTATCCGTCATCAACCTTGCAAGGATCATGTATCAAAGGTGTCTCTAGAAGGCTTTGTTAAAGCCACAACATCAAAATTAAAACACAAGCGAATGTTGCTATAATTTGTCCTGGCTTACTTGACACTCATAACACATTATCAGGTGTCTGGTTGTGAAAACTGCAACATTTCTGTCAACAACGGAAGTATCGCATCGGATTTCAACTCTGTGATTATAAATATTTCCAAAATATTGCTCTTAGATTCCAACTTTGGCCTTTATTTTCTCGGCTTCTATTCAATAAAAATGCTTCATTAATTTTTGGAATTTTAGTTTAGGTTACATTTCAAATAAGCGATTTTATAAGCATGATCATTTTTTCACTTTACAGCAGTTCTAATATCTTACCGTCTTTGCCCAAACACGCGTCAATTGAAAGGTTAATATCCGGCCGGTCCGGGTTAATTTTGCCATTAATCAGACATTAGAAATGGTATTAGTTTAGTAGTGATATTGGTCTTCAGCATTTTAGGAACCCCAAATTTTATTTATGAGAAATTATGTATATTATGTTGTCTCTTGAACTTCTTGGACACTTTTATTCCGGTGGTCGTCAAATTATGAATTAAGCAACTGCAATGTTTATATTTTTAAGCCCTTCGCTCCTCCCCTCAAGTTCCTCATAATAAGACCAAAAACAGACTAAAATAAATAGAATACATAGCCGAAATGCGAGGAATATTGTGAATAGACAAGTAATATTTTATTACTACAGCCAGCTGAAAAGTTTTACAGCGACTTTTGTTACAAACTAAAACTCAATTAAAAGAAACGTACATGCATGATTCACAACTGAATAATAAATCAGCAACTGGCAAGCTCAATAGTGGGGGCGATTCGACATCAAGAAACGTAAAATAGAAGATGAAATTTAGCACTGAATAAACGAAGTACATAAAACGCGTACCTGTGTGCCCAAGACCTCGTCCAGAAATCATGGGGACCTTGATCCCCGAAACGGCTAAAGCGGGTGCAAGCACGAGACTGACTTTGTCCCCAACGCCGCCTGTCGAATGCTTATCCGCCACGCTTCCCTGCCATTCTTCAGGCCACGATAAAATGCTTCCTGTCGACATCATGGCCTTGGTAAGATGTACAGTTTCATCGCGATTCATTCCCTTGAGGTAGATAGCCATTAGCATAGCCCCAATCTGGCTTTCAGAGGCAGAATTGGACGTCGCACATTTAATGAAGTGGTGTATTTCGCTCTCGGACAGTTCATCGCCATCGCGCTTTTTTGCAATTAGGTCTGGGATAGGAAACGAGTTGGACATTTTTCTGACAGAAATTGGGAACTTTCGCCCGTTCACCCAGAATTGAAACAGGAAGTACAAAACTACACTGCGAAGATACGGATCATAAACAGTCTGGGGACACGTTCCACCTGAGTAACTTCATCCGATTACTATTCCCTCAGTAAGCAATCGAATGAAATTCAGGCCACTTAGCTTCTTCGGTAGCCTGGGTAGTGTGGCGGTTACTCGCTTGCGCGCGCAAAATAATTAAAGGCGGACAGCAGTGCGTTCGACAAAACCGCCATGCTACGCAAGCTACTGACGCCGAACTTTTATTTATTTGTTTATTTATTACAATATTTATGGCATTCGATTTACGCTGTGGCTATATGGCCGGTAATTAACCGGTCAAGGTTAATTACTGCTGATGACCGGCACTCTTATATTCTCAGTAAAATTCACAAATCGAAAAAACCAGTAATCTAAACTATCATACGTCGATTAAGAAAAGTCAAGCGATCCTGAAATGCTTTATAGATCTCAAGTTAAGCGTTTGGTTTACGCTGGGCTCAGAAAAAGAAACCATGTTTTGTGACACTATTTTCAGGTCAGCACTTCCGGCCAAAGTTTTCAAAACACTAAATGACGTCAATGACCGAAAAATTCCGAAAATAAACTTTTCATGTAGACGCATTTCAAGATGATGTTTCAGAGGCATAAATCATTACAAGGCATTTTGTAACCAGTTTGACCGAAATGAGCATTTTCTCCTTTTGACTTTAATTCGGCTGGAATTATGATCGGCGTCTGAATCAATTCAGCCCGTCTAAATAATTATTTTGCTCATTCGCGATTCGGTTCATGAAAAGTTCGCCGTCTGAAACAGGCAATCGATGATGATGAAGATGATGATGAAAATGGAATAATAAAAAAGTGGACAGGTTTTAAAAAATGTTGACAGTGACAGCCAAAAAAAAAGTCAACAACAACAGCAAAAATAGGAAAAAGAAAAGAAAAAGAACAAATTGCCATTTCCCCATCCGACCGGAGTCTCTCTCGTCACCGTCTTGCGAGCGCGTCGTATTGATCTACTCCGATCCCCCACCCCACCCCTCCCCGACACATCTAATCTGAAGACTGAGTTTCTGGGCAACCGACTTGCTTTACGTTATGAAAACTGAATTCTATTGCCTTGAAATTGAGTGATATCTATAGAGCAGGAAGAGAACACCTTTCCTGCTGTTCTGTTTTACTTTCTTTACCGAGAGTTGGACGACTAAAGCAAACGGTATCCTGCAGTTTCTAGAACGTCTCCATGGAGCTTTGATTTGAGTGGTCGTAGGTTATCAGTCTTTCAAATTTCGCCCATGCTCACCATTAGGAGATACTCATTTCAGTCTCTATGCTTCCATATATAAGCTCTGGGCGTTATGGAATCGTTTCGGAGCCTGTTTACAGTTCCAACAGCGTTAACGAGATTAATGAAGTAAACAATCCATTACCGGATTCATTTGTGGACAAAGATCAAGCATGGCCCAGCTTGCCTCTTATTTCGGAGGGTTCTTTCACGTCGCTTGTCAGCAAACAATCTGGAAAATCTTTGGAAAGGGGTAGAGAAAGAGCCACAAAAAACAAAGAGGTGAGTGGGTTTAAAACCCAGTTACATCATTATAAACAACTTGTATTATATGGCGTGGTTTATTGATCTTCTTCCAGTGTTGTTATCATAATCCTTTATCGCGCGCCGCGCGTTGAAATTAAGTCCAAGATTTGTTTAACCTGGTTTGAGTTGTATGTGCGCCCTGCGAAAGACACTTTGTTGTAGATAATATTATTAAAAAGCTCATTAACTTTCAGCAGGAAACTACAACGGTACCGAAATTTCATAATTCACCACAATTTGCATAAAAGATGAAATCAAACAGACGTTTTAAACTTTCAAAAACTGTTTGATATTATGGAGTGTTCATTATTTATCCTTTGCGGGGAGGTCCGGCATTTTTAATTGTCCCACTTTCAATATCTTTAAACCCCCTCTTGCTCGGGCAACAGGAAAACTTTATTGACACCTCAAGAGTAACGTCAAAACTTATGCGACCCCCTCTCCCATCTTTTATATATAAAGGTCAAATAGTTTACGCGATGCAATATTCTGTTTAAAAGAATTGTTTTGTAAGAAACATACATTGATTTAGTGAAAAAAAATGTTTTTCTTGTGCCGTTGGTCCCACTCTTCTTCCAGATCTGGTGCTTGAAGAAGTATTAGACATAGTAACTTCTGTAAGCTCACTGCCATTGTCCGTTGATTCACTGTCAAGATAACTGTCTTTTGAGTCACCACCACTGTCAACCTCTGCTAAATCCACTCCCTCCTCACTTTCGTCCTCATGTTCTTCCTGGATGTTGTCAAGGGACCCATGTATGCGTTACCTGCGGATAAGTGAAGTGTGATGCATCGCATCTTATCTGGTTTTTTACCTTTGTTTGTCAGGGGGTGGTGCTTATCTGCTTCAGGCATTGTGAGTGTCCCTAGCTTTCCTTGTTCTAACAGAGAAGCCCAATCATAGTCGTCCACAGATTTCTGCTTCTTTGCTCTTGCTTTTTCTTGTCTTGCCTTGACTCTGATGGACTTTGACCAGTCAGGGTTCTGTTCTCTCTACACGCTCACGAGACACCACGTATTGCGCACTAAAGTCCCTGATTTTTTTGCCGGGGCATCAAGATGAATATCTCCCTTGTGAAAAAGATGGCTTACATTTGACCTGGGGCTGCATTCCATTCTTTGGGTCCACATGACATGAGAAAACTTTCATGATCCCCCCTCCTCCCCACTAACTATCTTGAAACTCAAATGACCCCCCGCCAAGGAAGCACGTTATTTTCAGCCCTGGAAGCACTTCAAAGTTTTCTGCCCCACCCCCTATGATTTAGTCGACCCTTCCCCCAAAGGATAAATTAATAATGAACACTCCCTTATGCATTCTTTGAATTCAACTCAGTGAATTCCTTTTAATGATTTTACAGCTGATACCAGCTTAACCTGAGATCAGGCTCAATTTTTGTTTTCCTTTGTAAATAACATTCCGGCAGGCAAGGCGAAACGAAAACCAAGTTTAGTGGTAGCCATCAGAGAGAATGTATGAGAACCATTAAAATTCGGCCTGATCTCAGGTTAATACTAGCTGTACTGTAGAAACCGTTTGGCATTCCTTGCTAACAATACGCTGGTTGTCAGAGGTCGTTTTAGTAGACATCATTAATTTTAGTAATGATGTTACTACATGTGTGCTAAATAAAGGGGTGTTTTGCCCTTGGTTTGGTTGTTAAATGGTTAGGGTATTAATTTGCTCATAAATGAGTCTCTTTTGCCTGAGTTTATGTCAAAACTCAGGCTGATGAGTCCAAAAAGAATGAAACAAATATTCCTGGCTGCTAATAGCAGGATGATATAGATATGAGTGCACATGCGCAAGGTCACTGGCTATATTGCAGAATTTGGTAGTTTGTGCTTCTTGCTGAATTTTGGTGTCACCATTTGAAAATCAAGCTGTGACTATGTGATATTAATGAGATGCAACCATCCGAGGGCCCAAAATGGCCACAGCTGTTACTTTTACTTGGTAACAAACCCAAGGGTGTTGCAAAAATAGGAAAGAGTTTTGTCCACATCTTGTGAGGCCCTGTCAGGGTTAAATTCCAACAATCGACATGGCCTTTAGAGCAAATGAAATTGCGGAAAATGACATAAAGATGGGTCAAATACGGACAGAGACATGGCCTACTCTTTAAAACACAAAATGACCATATTTGAAGCATGTATTACATATTTCCCCCACCCCTACCCCAAAGGGGGCCTCATTTTTCACAGGCTCAATTACCAGCTTGCTGTTTGATCAAAGACAGGATCTGGGAGATGACAGGAATCAAGCCTACATTTTATTAATGATAGGTAGATATAATAATAAAACAGTTTAAACTGTGAGAAGAAGTTGCAAGCCAGATCTACTCAGGAGTATATCTACTCCATTGGGAGGCATAAGAGTTGCATAGATGTAAATTTTAAAAAGAGAGGAGAGACTACAGTTCAGTAAACTAACCATTTTTTTTCTAATCCCAAAAGGTGAACAGTTTAGGACAAGGTCTTGATATACAAAGGTCAGTACTGACTGAATACTTTTGCGAATAAAGTGTACATTTACATGTACATTTAGCTATAATGATGTATAAGTTACATAAATTAGTGGTGTAAATAGTGTGAAGTCAATCCTCTATATGTACCCTTCTGATCTCTCATAAGCAACCACAGCCATTGATAATATTATTCCTCCCATTGTTGTAAGCAACCTCTTGTAAGCGATAACCTGAAGCATGGTCTAATCTCTATGTTCGCTGTTTGTCCCATTCTGTACTAAGAAAGAGCTTTTTGTGATAACGTGGAATGCACACATATAAAACTTAGTGTTTGTATGCAATAAATTCTCTTTCAAAAGTAGATGTGTCCAGATGTCTTTTCAGAAGAGAGGCCATGTAGTTCACTTGTCAGCTTTAAGCAACCACCTCCCATAAGTGACCAGCAAATCTTCACCTTTGGGTGTAGGCCGCTAATAGAGTAGGATCCATTGTAGTTACCAGCTAGGCTTAATCTTATTTAAATCATTTTTAATTTTTGAGTGGATTGCTGGGATAAAGGGAAGTTGTGAAGGGAAGTCAGATGTACCATACTGGAAGAGTATGTTATGGACATTATATTTGCAAACAATAGCATAAAGTGCCACTGGCACAGTGAGTATTTTTAGGTGTGCATCCAGGGGAAAAAACAGTCATTTTCCAATACAGTGGACCTCCACTTAGCATCCATATTATCCAGGTGTCTATTTTGACCTGGCCCCACGTCAAACCAGGTTGAATAATTTATTCATTATAATATCAGGATTATGATTTTCTGATCGATTTCTTTTCTGTCTTTTCTTCCTGTCTCATAGCAGAAGTGGTTTGAAAATCACACAGTTGCAGTTAAACTGTCAAATGAAAAATCTTGATCGTGGTTGGTGTGCCCAAGGAATTAACCCACGACTTGTGGTAAGGTTAAAACATTTAAATACAGTATCTTTATTCTTCATTTTCTGGCTGTAACAATAAAAATAACTGTTCAAAACAATAAGTTCTGAGATCTCTGCAGTTTCAAATTGAAAGTTTTCTTTTTTTAATTTACCAAATCTTTGAACCCTCTGCTAATTTCTCTGCAGAATTCAAGTCGCTCCTCTCAGCTGCCAACCATGGGATTCCATGTGTGAGTAATAAGCATTTTATGTTAAATATAGAATCACTGCTTTGCTTTTGTGTAAGAAATTTCAATAAAATTTTGACATACAACTCTTATTGCTCCCAGTTCTCCAAATTTATGGTACATCCAGTCATGGATGTTTGCAGGTGTCACATTCAGGTGTTCCTCTTCACCACATGTTTTCATTCTCATTTAGTGACACCATAATGTCATATAATATTGTCTCAATTTCAGAATGAGTACAGCTGAAAGACTGATTTTTGAGCAATCTCTGGGCCAACCAGTGGAAAGTCTGCATAAAATGAAGCATCAAGTAAGATTGTTTGTAATTTTTTGTAATGACTGCAAGGGGCTTAAATAAAGTCTCTGCTCCCAGTAGAAACCAAACCCTTGACTTTCCTTAGCCTTGCACTCTAAGTTTTGCCCCTTCTTGTACATCCTTCCCTTCTCATGTGTCTAAATTCCTTGTTCCCCTTTCCATTATGAAACACCTCCATGTAGGCTAGACTTTCACAGACTATCCAAGTGCTTCTAGACTCTCAGCAGTGGAGACACTCATAGTGAGATTGAGGCCATTAACTAGGTTTTTAATAATGCGGTACAAATCCTGTGCACAGCAAGGACATACTGCAATTGTCAAAACTCTTCTGTGTAAATAGATTTTAAAGCATCTATTAACAGTAAACAGGACAGAAATGAAGGTAGTAATTGCCGATGTGATTAACTGTGTTTGCCCCCCCCCCTTTTCATGGCACATATGGCTCCTTTGGCATTTACTCAATAAGTCTGAAGCAAGTCAGTAGGGTTAATAATCCCACCCTGACTTTGTACGCCCTCTTTCATAACAAACCCAAAATGAGCTGTTTGCTGAGTCTTGTAAACAGCCAAGCATATTCTATCTGACTTCTGCCATTTGGAATGCTAACTGTTACATTATTGTTACTTACTTTTATTATTCTGATGTTCATGGTTTCAGGCTGCAGCTCAGAGTAGGAAGAATCAAATTAAACTTGGTGGGCAGACCATCATTAACAAAGGGTAAAAATGCTTATCAACTTACTCCATTTGTTTTTTAAGTTTTTTTGTGGTAACAAGAAGTGGTATGAGCAAAGCAGTCTACATTGTGACCTTGTGTTAAAACTTGAAACTTATTGGAGGGAAAGTACTTGCTTTTAGGTGATTGCAACTTCCAGTGAGAATGCCGTAGATTAAGATGCCACCAAAACAAAATCTTGATCCCTTTAAAATAGAAAGAAAAGAGGGCAGTTAATGAAATCTACCACAGTTAACAACAAGGAGCACCATTGCATCTCATGTTGTTGGTCAGCATACAACATAACTGTAATTTGCTTATCTATGAAGCACCTAAGAGTTCTTGAAAACATATTCAAGTGTGTCCCTGTATTCCAGATGGAATTGGAATTCGGAAGTGTTGGTTTTTGAGGAGGGTAAAAAAACAGAGTACATAGAGAAAAACCTCTCAAAGCAAGGGAGATAACCAACAACAAACTCAACCCACATACGGCGTCGATGCCAAGATTTGAACCAGGGCATCATTGTTGGGAAGCAAGAGCTCTGTTTTCACCACTGTGCTCCCCTTGTTCCCCTACACTAGATTTCTCCTATTTTCTTTCAGGTATAGAATGCCTGTTATAAGTCGTGTGGTATCGCCCAGTAAACCAAGTGCACCTGCCATGCCATCACATGTTCCAGAAGCAAACCATGTTGTAAACCTTAACAGCAAGGCTAGTAGCAAACCTATCAGTAGTGTAGCCATTCACTCAAGATGTTGCTGTCGACACCACAAACAGGGCAATGATCAAAACGCGACGTTGAAATCAAGGTCCTCTGACAGTTTAACCAAAGAGGTACATATATTTAGGCTTTCTTTTGTTTTTTTTTTTGGTGTTCAAAAATTATTGTTAAACTGGACAGAAATTTTAGATGGATGTTTTTTAAATGCTCTGATGTACTGACGTACTTCGTTCTTGTTTTGTGTATGTATTAACTTTCTTAGACACAAATATGTCTCTTTTTACTCTGTTATTTGGCTTATTAAATTAGAGTACTCCCTCATTAAATTTCTTTGATCAGTCTTTGTCTTAATGCAAAGCTCTTTAACTTGTCTTCCATGAGTACTATTCTACAGTATATGCCTTTTAGATTCACTCTAACTCTTTTCCTCTGCCCTAAACCAGTTCAAATTTTGAAAAGGAAAGTGTAATGATGTCAATTCTCCTGACAAAATAGCCAACATTTCACAATGCAACCACTGGTTTCCCCGCAAAATGACCTCTGAGAAACGTGCACAGAAATTCCACACTGGCAAGGTGTCACTACTGAGATGTGGGTAGCGCTAATCTGATTGGTCATGTCGCATGGAAAATTTGCTTCAGCCAATCAGAAGTACTATCCATGCCAGATCTGGGTAGTAATGCGTCATCAGTATGGAATTTTTGCAGCGGTTGCTCAGATGTCATTTCGTTGGGAAGCCAGTGGTGGCGTTGTGAAATGTTGACTGTTTTCTCGGGCTTCTAAATCTCTTCATCACGAATTAGCCACATGTACATGTGTTAGAATTTAGCTGCTGCAAACTCTTTAATTGTGGCTTACTAAATAACAGACTGTACAATCATATACTGTTAACATCTCTGGTACTGTAATTCATTCTGATGCTCAATGGACATACTTTCTAGATTTATCCGGTCTATATTTTATTTGTATTATTTTCACATCAGGACTGTTTCTTTTGCTGTTTTGTTTTTTCAGAGAGTTTCTAGAGGAAAGAAAGAAGGATCTGTGATCAATCAAAATATTCATGGTAACACTTTTAGTGGTGAGAAAAGAGTAAAACCTACAGACAGACCTCCTCCCAAAAAACTGCCATCACCAAGTGGTATGAAAACAATATACCGTATTTATTCGATTAACCGCCCTGGGCGCTTATTAAATTTTTGGATCTTGAGAGTGGGCGCTTATTCGAGGTGGGCGCTTATTCGAGGCTGGGCGCTTATTAAATTTTCACCATTTTCAGCAAGTGAAGTATGTTTATTTTGCAAGTCTCTTATTAGAATTTATTCACTCAAGTGGGTGGGGTGGGGGTGAGCGCTTATTTGAGTTTGAATGGGAGGAGGAGGGGGTGGGCGCTTATTCGAGGCTGGGCGCTTATTAACTTTTTCCGCCTTTAGGATGGGCGCTTATTCGAGGTGGGCGCTAATTCGAGGTTGGGCGCTTATTCGAATAAATACGGTATGCCTCCTGGCTTTTTAACCTAATGCTACAATATACTTCCAACTTGTTTAATCACAGATGTGGGTTTGGGGTGTTGTGTGGGGCGTGTGGGAGTTAGAGATGAAAGATCCCTCTGATCATGAAAAGATACCCATTTGAACCATCCCAAAACAGACTGCTAGAGATGGTTTCTGTTGTTTTTCAGTCATTCTTAGAGATCTTTAGATTTGAGTAAGGAGACCGAGAGGACAGGATTTAACTTAAAGTTTTTTCCCATAATCTTAGAAAATAGACACCCTGGAAACCTTCATTTTACTTCTTTCACTGGAAAAGTTATCACAGATAAGCCCTCTCCTGATCGAAAAATGAAAGCATGCACTTCTAACATTCTATAACTTGTTTCTGGCACTCGACCCTTCTGCCTAAAACATCCGATACTGGTTCATTCACCCTCACTAATCAGACTAATCAGTATTAAGAAAATCTTGTCCTTGTAGTCGTGCATCCTTGCCGTGGAATCCAAAGGTCTTTATTGACTCTCAAAAAGGCAGAAACCTACCTTTGATGGTGCACTTAGTGTCAGATCCAAAAGTATCCATCTTACTCTAGAAAGGGTTGTACATGAATGTGTGCAAAATATTTTTGCTAATGAACAGTGACAATTCTCTACTGGATGATTCTAACGCTATGAGCTAATGGTACAACTTAAATTCTCATTCTCTTGTAGGATTTATTGTTGGACAGCCAAGGAGAAAGGTAAAATTAGTCATCTATTTTTCACTTATGAGTTTGTGTCTTATATAAACCTGCACTATAAGCACTGTTATAAAAATGTTTTTGCTCTCTTCAGTTATCAAGAGTGAAGCACAAAGGCATTTTTCAAAATGTTGTTTCTCTCTTTTCCTCATTCTAGAGCAAACGGGTAAATGTGCTTGCCTCAGATAGTAGCTCCAGTATTCAAGAGGAAAGAAAGAGAGTTAAAAAATCTGTACCAAAACAAACGAAACAAAAACGTTTAAAATCACCAGAGCATAAAAGTACAGAAATACTACCCACTTCAACTGATCCAGCAGAGGAAAGTACAAAGGAATTAATGATATGTGTTGAGGATGCAAAACAGATCTCAGTGTTTGAAGATGTGTCTAAAGAACCAGAGGAGTTGATGGAAGTAGAATATCTTGATGAGCAAAAAGAGTCTTACAACAGGCAAGTGTCAGTTTTGCTGTGTTAAAGATATGCACACTCCACTTTTTCACTCCATGTTCGTTTGCAGATATCCCTAACCTTCCCCCCCTTATCGTATTGAATAATTATTTTCTCTTCATCCTCTTCAGTGCATTTCGGAGAAGTCCAAATTTCTCGTTTTGAACAATGGCAAATATGACGTTGGTTGTAAGATTGAATTCCCGTGACAAAACGGTCTTACAAGTTTCTCAACGTGTTTAGCTTTTTATTGCAGAGAGCAGCCTGATAGTTTAGATGTTATATCAGTGAGGTCTGCAACAACATGTGATCCAAGGCGATCAGCTACACCCAGACTTTTGAAGGTAATAGATTTATTGGCATTTTCTAATCGTACTATGATGTTCACTTAGCCTCTAGAGCAGCCTTTAGCGAAGTGGCAAACGTCTGCTGGTAAATCCTGCAACCATCGCAGCAGGAAAAGGTCCTTTTCAGCAGCTCGAAGATTAAAAACATGGCTCCATTCAACAATGACTAAAGAAAGGTTCTAAACAGCCGTAAGGAGAGAACGGAAATTCCTTAAGTGAATGAAACACGAAAATTATGATGCTGCTGTGCATGGTTACACTTTTCTGTTACTGACTCCTTTCTCGTTTGGTAAACTATTAAAAAAACGATTGATGAGTTGTAACTGTATTAAAAAATATTGAGTCGACACCAGGTAACCATTTTTAAAGTCCACCACCCCCGCTAACTACACTTTAAAAGGGGTGGATCGGCCCCCGCACTTTGAAAACTGCTGCGCGGGCCCTGATGGGAGATGCACACGACTAGTTAGTAGTATAGTGAGGGTGAAGTTGTCCTTTTTCGTGGATTCTCATAATTTTTTTTTCTCAGCGGTGTCATCATAGTTAATGGTCTCCAACTTATGAATAAAATTTGTAACAACTTATTTGTTAGTTTTGTCTTCTTTTTTGGTTATATCAGGTTGCCTCTGAAGTGAAAACTGATCCCACCTTAGCTAAAGTTTTTCAGAAGTTAGACACTGACTGTGATGGGTAAGTCAGTAAATAAATAGATAACCTGTAAGCAAGCTCTCGGGAGCGAGACCAGGGGAGGGAGAAGAGCATTTTCTCCCCACCTTCACTTCCCAGAAGCTTGCTCACTGACTAGTTTAAAAGAGCTTGAATCAACAACAGAGTGATTGTGAGGTCTGTTAACTTCAACATGTTCGCCTGAGAGAATTCTTGACGCGCGAAATGAAAACCCGCAAAAGGAAAGAGATGTCCTTTCTTATTTGCGCCCGTAATTTCCCAAGCGCCTGCTGAGCTGTAGGCTATTTAGTACTTAATTTGGTATATCCCTAAACTGGGAGTGTTCCCCCATTTGTCCTCAGGGATAATAGAGCGAGCGAAACGCGAGCGCGCGTGATTTTCACGCGCGCTCGCGTTTCGCCCGTTCTACTATCCCTGAGGAAAAATGGGGGACTACTCGTAGTCTAGTATATTCCCCCATCTTAACCCATTCGATCCTGGAGATTTTGCCGAAAGACGCGTTTTGAAGCTAGTCGAGTGGTTTTCTGGTCACTGTCGTGCTATAAAGAGCTAAAACTTACCACAAACCGGTTTACATGTCGTTCACTTGGCGGCCTTCTGATACAGATGCAAAATATCAGCTTGTGAAGTTCGGGCATACGCAGAAAGCAAAATTTCGAGATTTTTTTAAAAGTGACACAGCAGTCTTGACTTTTACTTTTCGCTTTCTCTCCTCCCTTCTTTTTTCGCTTTTCTTGCCTCATTTTTTTTTCTCGTGCTGGGCATCTAGTAGGCTTCATTTTGGTGGGAAGAGTTTTTAGGAAAGCTTTTAGGATCTTAGGATTAGGTGAAAGGAAAGGTAGGTGGGTAATGGAACAAGATTTTCATGGAGATTTTCAGGTCAATGTCACTGGTTTTTTGCTTCTTTCTCCGGTGCCCTTGACTGAATTGTGCTCATTCTGGTATGGTTTGAAAGATCTCTTCACTTTGCACAAGTTAGCGAAGAAAGTTGTCCTTGACCGTTAAAACTGATGACGTCACAAAGGGTAGAAAGGACCTGGATCCGCACGGGCGGTTACGGGCGGTTCAGGGGCGAAGGGTTAAAGCATCGGTATCTATTTTCCTATGCACTGCATTTGCTGTTTTATGTTTCAGACACATTTCGTTCGCTGAACTTAAGAAAAGTCTACCAACACATCTATCAAGTCACCAAATAAAGTATTTGAAGAAGGTAGGGTAATTCATTATAAGAAAAGAACCAACCGCTGCGGTTGAGATTCTATAAAAATGACATTTATTATGTTTTTATGTGTAATCACTTGTATAATTACCCACAAAAATCATTGATCTTTGCTAAATTGGTTATCAATCAATCTTCCCACTACCTACGTTAGAAACGTATAGGGAAGTTGGAAATAGGAATTCAGAGTTTGACGACACATCAGGAACGTAGATAGGACAGACCAGAGACAGTAAAGCATACAATGTAAACCGACGTCAATGGGGACCTTAAGAGTGATTTTCTGTAAAATTCGAACTTCGGCCTGACACGGTACCACATCGATTTGGCTGATCTTTGGCATGTAGTCTTAGAATGGTGTCCTAAATACTGAATGCATATTCTAAGGTTCGAATTCTCGTTGGTTTCAAAGATACAGGAATGACAGTTTTGACGAGGCCTCGAGCGGCCGCCATGTTGGTGAACTGAAGGAGATTTACAGTAATTAATTCTAGCCTTATCATTAAAATAACTTAATCGTGACTCATACAGTTGCAAAGAACTATCCTTCCTCCTTTCATTTACCTACTGTTATCTGAAAATGGTTAAGCCTGAGCTACGAAAGGCTATAACTTCTCACAGTACTTTTTCGGTACTTAAACGGTACACAAATTTGGTAGAAATTGGAAGGCCAATATCACCCATGCCACATCGATTTAGACTAAGCCATTTTAACTAAACATAGTTTGTTTATAGCTAAGTTAGATTGTTGAATAAAATAATTGGGCAAATGCAACGGAACAGAAATATGATTGCATGAATGCGCAGTGGTTCAGCCACTTGGCCGCTAAAACTTCAAAACAAAATTCGGTGAATATTTGAAAAGAAACTTCTTTAAAAATTGATCGTGCCTCTTAAACCCTATCTATCGCTTAAAAAACCCTCCCTTGTAATGTAAACAGATGATCTTTTGATTCTGATCTTGCGAAGAGCTTGAAATATGCGCTAAAATGAAAATTATAAATTTTGTTACACACGGTACTAGCTCAAGTTCGCTCTTCGATTTCCCAGACCAATCGGGAGCCGCTGGTGTACTGCACAGTTACAATTTTCTCTGTAGTATTTCGCTGTATACAGCTACAAATTACATATTTTCTTAGGCAAAGATAACGCAAACGTTGTCAATTTTAATCAAAAGGCTAGAAAAACCAACCGTGCACTGTAGCTTTATGCAAATTGTATGGTATTCGATAATTACACGTGTAAACAGGAACCTACCTTTGCTAATGTAGACTGTTTGGCAGATCTTTCCAGCGTAAGATATAAAACTAGTACATGAAATGAAATTAAAGAACTCATCAAGTCAAATTACCTGATCGTACCGTCATTACTGAATAATAAGTCCGCAAAATATGACATGGAATGATCGGTGGGAGACGAAGCTATTTTTTAGGAGGACAAGGAACTGCACGCTGGAACGGAACTGAAATGAACAACCGCAATCAAGTTCAGTCTTCTTGACGCTATTAAACGTTTCACCCGAATTTGAACAGGAAGTTGTTTTCTATTTTCTTTCTCATTCTTGCATGTATTCTGCAGTTCGCCCACTATTTTTTCGTAACTTTTAATTTTCTAGCTAACTGGAACTTTTAAGAACTACCAACCCCTCCCCTCCCCCTCTTTGAGTGAACTTTCATTCGGTCTGATTCACAATAATTTTCGAACGGTGACAAAGTGATATTTGAAATGACATTTTATTTAGTATTTTTAAAAGCTCCTTCTTTTTTTCCCGATAGCCAGGAATGTTTTGAACGTGAAGGCTCAAGTGGCGGTGTTTTTCACAACTCTACTTGTAGACTGACCTCACCACCAGTACCACGGACATAAAATCTGATCGGAGAGGGTCATACAGTAACTGATGGGTCTCTGAAAAGCGAAATGCAGTCACTTGGGGCGAGTAGGCTATATAGATGATGAACTCATTGTTTATAACCCCATAACCGTATCCCAAAAGTCGAGCCAGCCCGGGGCGAGCGAACACAATTTTGGGGCCACTGGCCACGCCCTTTTCCCTCGGGAAATTGGTTGATTAGTCAAATCTCCTTAACTCCACGACCATGCACCTTTCCAAATATAGTCCTTCTTATCATCATATAGTTAGGGCCTCCCGTAAGCATTTGCAACTATTTTGATTTGTAGAAGACTGTTTAACAGTTTTCATTACTTTAATGTCTCGTAAACAACACGAGGTACATGTTCTGATCTCTCCCCCCCACCCCCCATCCATAACAAAAAATTTTCAGACCAACACTGAATTGCATGAAGGTATGTACAAAAATATGACCATCTCGAGGCAAGGTTCATCACTGTAACTTACCACATAAAAGCCTTTTCGTTGTTTGCCCTCGACTGATTCTGTTCTGAATACTAAGGTCCCATAAACAACGCCACGTTTAGAAAGAGCCCGCCCTTTTCAATCCAAGAAAACCCAAGTAGCGATTTCACCAACGGACATAAGCCGTAAGAAAAGGACCGCGTCAAATAGTTCATGAAATCACAAACGCCTCATGACACCTTTAATTTACTCTTTCTTCGATAAACTAATTTTTAATTTTTTAAGCATAAATGACATCAGAATGCGCGATTATGAGCATTGTAGCTTATGAAAAGAAAATTTAACACCTGATGCACATGAAAGCGTCTAAAAAGGGGACTAGGGGGAATTAGGAACATTGTGCTTACCGCTGGAAAAATATTGGCTAGTTCTTTGAATAGACTCAATTAAAGCCGTTTTTGTTCAGTAAGGAGCTGTTAGATGAGGGGAAAGCTACATGAAGTAGATCGCATCAGAATACGGCATAGGACTAGGCTCTCAAAATCGATAAGCTGAATTCAAGACCAATTATTATGTAAAACAGAGAAAAATTCCTTGAGGGAAAAAAATTATGGCTAGGGAAAAGACCCGAAGGTGGAAAGTTAGGATGGTAGCTTCTTTTCAGGTAATCGATCATTTACGTTAACTTCCGCTATCCGACGGGCACATCGGAAAGACTGAATGGATGAGAGTGTAACACATTCAAGAAGAAACAAATTTGTGATTTTGCACAACTCAATAAAATAACTAAAATTGTGTACTACTCGGTTATACAAGATATTTGTTTTCAATTTCAGATTTTTACGATGGGGCATTAGCCCCTGTACTCACTAGACACTACTTTACAATCATCGTGTTAAAATCAGTGAAAGACTCCAAAACAATTTGGATTCCTACCCCTATATCTTTATTAAAAATTAAAGTTGGGAAGTTTTTTGTTTTCTAAAAGTAGTTTGAACAGCCGAACGACATTTTTTTACACGGAGTGGGGAAGGCAAAGCTTCACTGATCTCTTCTAAGGTAGAAAGTGTCAGCAAAACATGAGAGTCGTCCTTGAGGGTAAAGTGTCTAACCTAATTTTCTCACCGATTGCAAGTGCCATTTCATCCACGCATAACATCACCTAGTTAACAGAATTAGCAAATGTAGTGGGGAAACGTTGCGAGAGAACTGAGTAAGATGTTAGGGTAAGTTTTGGAAATTTTCCGCACACCTGGAAAGTCCTGGCTACGCTCCTGATAGAGACTTTTGCTGGAGAGAAATTGAAACATGTTCGCTAATATAGTGACGACCAGAAAGGACAAGCCATAGGATAGTTCCAGAAAACCACCCATTAAAATAGATCACGAAGTTGTCGCGGCGGAGGATGAACTTGAAGGCATCTGATGAATTGCAGTTTTTCAAGGGAGCCCAGACAAGATTATGTACGATGGGCACAGCTTGTTTGATCTGGAAAATTTAGAGAAGCTCAAGGCAAATCGCTAGACAACACATGCTAGAGCTGAACTAAAAATCTTTTGCGCCTTTGAACTCTGTCCCTAAGAGTAAAGGAGAAAGTTTCCCTTTATCAATGCATTAACCGAGTTGATTATGAATGTCTCCTGGACGTCTTACTAACAAGCACATTACCACTACTTGCCCTCAGAGGCGTTTTTCATTTGACGAGCAGAGAAAATTAGGTTTTGACTGTTTGAAATTCTGGATGCCAGAGTGAAGACGCCTTTTGTATGATGACGTCATCGTCCTACAGTAAAAAGCGTTCGTTTTTTACCGCTGATATTACGTCAATCGGTACACGAAAGGTCCGTGAGCATGGTAAATGATTTTACCTTAAACTGCAGACACATCTTCAATCACTCCTTACTGTTCGCGATATCGGATAAACACTCTGGTCTCTAACTGAATTTTCTTTGCTGTTTACTTTATTTTGAATAAGGACTGTCTTGAGTTGTCCATGCATTGTCTAGCGATTTTAAGCTTTTTCAAGGAAACAAAAATCTGGAATTGTCCCTAGGGTGAGGCATTTGCGCACAGTTTTAAAGCCCCTCGGCCGGGTGACTGTGGTTTTTGCTGTCCCGAGCTCATCCCTCATTCTTCTTAACCCCTTCCAAACCAATTTTTCTGTTTATCAAGAATCTCCTCAAAACGGGCCTCGTGATTGAGACAAAATACCTGAAAATTGTACACGGAACCGTTGTTAACGGTGTACAAGGTAGAATGAGTCTATTCATTACTTTGCCAACGCCCAATTTTTAAAATCGGAAGTAATGATGTTTATTTCAAGGGCTCATGTCTCATGAGTTTTGAGTAAATCTTCAAACGCTGTAAACACATGTAGCTGGAACTATCATCGCATCGATCCTCGCTCACTAATAATGATAACTTATATCAACTTCCATTATTTATTGCCTGCCTAAGATTTTCACGGATTCTTCAGTTCAGTTGTTTGAAACCATGCGGTTTCACGTGAGTTGTAACGCCAGGCAAGGAACGTGACGACCCGCGATATATTCCTTTTTTTTTTCGATCAAGGTGGAAACTGGCAACTTTGTCGTCGAGTAAGGTAATACATCTCAATTTTCATTACTATGGTTAATTTTAAAAGCTCTGGTTTCGGTAAAGGAACTGGAGGAAAATCAGGAAAATTCCAGTTCGACTGTGATGGTTGAATTTTGTTTACGCGTCATAGCATAAACATAACAAATTCATTTTCCTTTTCCTTATACAATCTGCCTTTTTTTTATACTGTTTTTCGCAGCAGAGTTATCGATTATATTACAGAGGCTAATTTTATTACACAGATCACTCAGATTTAATGACAGAAACTCTATTATCGATTGTAATTTTGGCAACACCTGGCGAGTATTCGGTGTACAGATTATTGACAAAGTCGCTAGAACAGTCTTCTATTCATTACTTTTGTTCCGCTCCGTTAAATTTGCCCAATTTTTTTATTAATGAACTCGATTTAACTACAAACAGTGAGTATTCAGGCAGATTGGCAAGCTTCAATGCGATGTGGCAAAAGAGATATACGCCTTTAAAATTCTGTTAATTTTGCGGGTGTAAAAAATTCAAAAAGTATACCCACCAAAAGTTTAATCGATCGTTGCGAAAACTTTATCAATTTCGAAGTAGTTTCTAAAAAATACAATAAAGAGGGATTGTTCTTTCAATCTGTATTGGCAAAGGAAGATTAGCTTTGAAGACAGGGTTGTAGTCGAAGGCTCAAAAGCAGCTTCTATTAACCAATATGGCGCCGGTCCGAGGCACCCAAAAACCGGCCATGTCGATAATTTCCGAAGTAGGAGGAATTAGAACCTAAAGTTACCTATTCCTTATTAAAGACCTCAAATCAAGTCTACATGCCAATTTTTAGCCAATTCGGTGAGATAGTGTGGCAGCGCCTTTTTAATATAGCTCGAATCTTACAGACAACTGCTCTTAAGTAGCCTGAAATTCATCCGATTGCTTCGAGTCGTTTTCTCCTCAACCGAGGGAGTAATAACGACTCAAAGTAATCGGATGAAATTCAGGCTGGAACTTAAGATCCAACAACTCCATTGCCTTTAAAAACTTCTCTGAAAAACAGACTTCGTATCCTTTTTGCGATTATTCCAAGTCGACCCAGAAAGCCTGATGCACTTGCAGAGTTTTTGCTTTGCTTGTTAAACCTATTGCTTTTTTTGACATTCCCGTTGTCGTCGTCGCTGTCGTAGTTCTGTTTTGTCTCTAATAGAGACCTTAAGATTCTAAGACGAGTTATAAAACGAGTACGACTACAAGTAGGAGATTTTCTCAATACTAAGTGGTGCACGCGCGTGAACAAGCGTCATTTTGGTGGGAATACGTGGTAGCCGCCGTCACTCTTCTACGAGTTTTAGCGCGAATGTCGTGGTAGCAAAAACAAGATATCAATGTTAGAAGAAGTTTTATCATTTTGCGGTGGGGAAAGCGCGTAACCCTCTTCACTAAAGGTAACAGTGCTAACTTTTTTAGTGAAATATAGTAAAATAAAGTTCTCCGTGAAGTCTATATTTTGAGAATACGCGAAGAAACTTCACGTCAAATGTCGTACTCGTAGTCGTTCTCGTCCTGGAATCGAAAGGTCTCTAAAGTGTACTATCTTCTTTCTCTTTCAGATTTATGACATGGCTTGTGAGAGCACATTCTTTGGTCTTGAAGAGTTCACTGCTACTCATCACATGTGTAGTCTTTTAACCAATTCAAGGTAAACATGTTAAATGTTTACACTGACAATTACCCTCTGCAGTCTCAGTACACTCAAAGGCATGATTGTTTTTTATATATACAGCAAGGGTGATTTGCTTTCACAACGCTACTACTAGTTTGACCAGTTCTTTTTTACCATCGTTATTCGTGTGCTACATGTATCATTGTGTAGACTGCGAGCAATATCTTATTGCTTTTTTGAAGTCAGTGGGTGTAACGCATCGCGCGCGGTGTAACCTGAGATCAGGCGTATTTTTTTTTTCAGATTACAGAGATAAAGGGAGAGGGCATGATCGCAAGCTACGCGCGGTGTGCTGTGAGACGCGAGACACGAGGGTGTCAGCCGGAGAAACCCTCGTGGCCGTCGCGCGGGATGTGTATGACCCCACTAACGTTAAGAAAAACAAGACAGTACTTGCAATCTAATAATGGCGGTTTTGTTTTTTTTTTTTTACCCCGTAGCCCAGTGGTTTCACACGCAATGAGTAATTTAGATCTCTCAACGATGGAGGACTGGCTTACTGCTTTTATGGTATGAATTTTAGCTTTGTTCGTTTTATTGCTTTGTTTTGGGATATTTTCTCTCGTTCGAAAGAATTCTTTTCTCTTAGAGAAGCTGGTAATTGGTAGTATAACTTATAAACCTCTACAAAAAAACCCAGACCTTTAGTCAGCTCATGAACGTCTTTTTGGGTTGTGTCTTTCTATAATGCGACCTTTACAATTAAAGTGTGAGTTTAAGCTTTGAAATCTTTTGTTGTTGTAGTTGTTGTTGTTGTTGTTGTTACTATATCGAGGACACAATTCAGGTACATTTTGCGTGAACAACTTACATCAAGATATCATAATAGGACCTATTAACTATGATCTCTTGCTTTACATATATGTTGAAATTTCGGTTGTAATTTCCTTCCTTTTGTTCTGGATTAACGTGTTCCAGTGACGTGACATAAAGATCTGGTGCGAAAGTTGCGGAAATGTTAAATTTATAGGCAGGAAGAACTAGAAGTGCCATTTGGATTCGTTCTAACTAGGGATCTAAGTCTAACTTTTCCGGTTGAACAAACTAAAAACGTAAGCGTTGTTATTTTATAATTTTCACCAGAGGTATCTTGAATTTTTTCGTTAATGTATAACCTGGTCGCAGATGTATGGCTCTTTGTCGCCGCTTCACAAAAAGAATCCAACCTTTATCCGAGGATGGCGACGGGGGAGAAAACGTCACTTAAAAATTTGTTGAATTCGTAAGAACAATACACAAGTTCAGAAAGAGAAAAGAAAATTTCGTCGTCGCTTGTTTACGACTTCCATAATACGTGAACGTAGGCATTTTCCCGTCGTATTCGTGCAGTGACGGCGAAGAAATGTACAAAAAAGCGTGATGCACGTGCAGAGTTTTGGTTTTGCTTATTAGACCTAGCTTTTTTACCGTTCTCGTTGCCGTTGCTGTCGTCGGATCTTAAGGTCCCCCATTGAATCCGAGTGAGGAAGACGGTTCTGGAACCAATTTTGTACAGGTCAACAAACATGGTTTCCGGCGTTCGTAGCAACAATCGATGACAAAGTTGTTTGCGGGACTGTCCTCAAATCGGGTATATTTCGGAAACGAAACAATCTGGACTCCAGCCCCTTTGACCAAAGTTGCCTTTTTTGTTGGTATCTAGTCTATCTAGAAGAGCGACACAAGATTGTTTATGGCGAAAGGGAGACCTGTGTTTTTCCTTTTAGTAGCATATCGGGTCGGGAAACGTGTAAAAGGTCGTTGAGGACGTCCGGTAATGATGTAACTCATTTTTAATTGTCAAAATATTAAATATAAGAATTAGCGAGTAGGGATTTCCTTTCGGCTTTGAAGAAGTCACGAGCTAGTCTCCGTTAATGTTTTTCTTTTTCTGTTCCTTTTGACAGGAATCGTTTGCTAAATCAGACAAACAGCAGAGTGGAGTCATAGACTTGCCATCATTTGTGGTAAATTTCTTGTGTTAACTCATGTTTACTTTGAACTATTTTAACCCCCTTCCTTGCCTATTTTAAAGTGTTTTAGTGTAATTCTTATCTCATGTGAGTAATTTTCATAAGAGCCGTTTTCTTTGCCATGAATACGGCCGGCTGATTCGAGAAAAAGGTTGTCACGTGAACTCGATATCGCTTAGGCTAATTAATGATGCCGAAACGTTCTGTGGGATCACATCAATAAAACTGAATAAACTCTTACACCCAAACTGTTTCGACCGTAAAGTGACGGCCTTCGACCTTAGTCTTTCCGTTCGAGTGTTATTTTTGTTTTCTCTATTTTTCTTTTACTGAAACGCTCAGTCAAAGTTAAACTGAAAACTTTTCAAAATCCTCTTAAGCACTGGAAACAAGTGAAACTGAAACGATCAGTCAGAGTTAGACTGAAAGCTTTTGATAATCCTTTTAAGCACTGTCGCGTGCACAGCTTGCATTTTCTCTCTTGAATCCGCAGCTGTATGACAAAGGTTGAACGGAAGCGTTACCCCCGATCAACAACGCGTGGCCTGAAATAGGATAAAAAAAACTCCCATTTCTACTGTCTAGTTTTAAAAGGAGGCTTTCCTGTTCGGAACTTGCGGGATACTTTTAAGTACAAGAAATAAAATTTCCGGCAGTCCTCCAGCAGTGAAAGCAAAACATAGCACCGAAGTGTCAATCTTGAAGGCTGTAGAAACAAAGACAAGTACGAAAAAGTTTCGAGAATTTATTTTTTTCAACAAAAACAAGCAAATACGTTAGTTGGCCATATGATAAAGCCTTTATTGACCACGTTTGCTTGATCAAGATGGCTCAGTGGGTATTGGTCTTTTTCTTTCTCTTCAGGTTTTCTTTTCTTGTTCCTTGCCTTGCTATGGACATTTCAGCTCAAAGCAATGCCAAAAAAAAAAGAAGTTGGCCCATATCCTTTCATCTTGACCAAACATACGTGCTGATTTAGTAACTCATGTATTGTTTGCCATACATCCTCTTTTGCTTTTCTTTACCACATCTCCAACACTAATCAATGAATAGTATCACAGACTAATAGTTTATCTGTCCCTGGTTGAGTATGAACCACTCTGTATTTTTCGTATCTTTTATTATTAGAAAATGCTTGCCTCTGTTGTCAACGTTCATCCAGATTCCTTCGTTATTCAGAAAATTCTTGACAATTTGGGCAAGGTAAGTCCTTAACCGCCTGAGAGGCGTATGACCACATTTGTTGTTTCTTGAAAACTCCCATAAAAGGCTAAATCCATGCCAGTCCCCTAACTGTATTTCTGAAAAGAGACCCGCCCCAGAATAAGCACTGCCTTTATTTCAATCATACCTGCTTTACATTATCAATTGCGTCGAAATAATAATGGCATATTGTTAGAAAGTCCACGGCTTAGAACGAAAAGGACTATGGGGGATCGATCGTTTATGGTGGCGACCCCAGCCCTATGGAACAACCTTTTTTTGCCAATAAGACAAGCTGAAACATTGATTCTTTTAAACGTTTACTTAATACTTAAATATAGTTTATATATATATATATATAGATAGATATATTTTTGACCTTAAAGACTAGTTATTATTGTAATTCGCCTTTTAGAAAGGGCGCACTATAAATAATAGATGTAGTTGTTATTAGTTTTTATTGAAAGCGAATATTCATACGCCCCGCATCCTCCAGCAACACTGAATGTGGCGCTTATTACCTTTTGTTACTGCTATTTACAGCATTTGTACACGCAACCGTCGAAACTAACTATTTTTACGTACTTTCTATGCTATCTGTGTCATTTCTGAGCAAAAGAAAGGAAGCGAAAGATTGTGTGGTACTGTGACAAGCAAACAGGAAGTTATTATCACCAAAACTTCCTCATTTCAGCGAGTATGATAAGGGCCCCCTCAAATAAGCGCCGCAAGCGGAACAAGTCTGTCCGCAAGATTACGATATTTATCTGGCCTTTTACAAACTTATCGGATCAATCGAGGTCAATTGAGGTTTCGATTCTGGATAACTGATCACCTACCCCTCCCCTAAGTCACAATTGTGCCCTAAGCGAGAAATAAGTGTAAGCGTTGACTTAAGGGAGGAGTGGGTGGTCAGTTACCCAGAAACCTTAATTGATATAACTTACCCACTATAAATACTGTTTACCATGACCGTTATGTCTGTCTCTTTTAAAGGGAAGCCGTAACTAAACGCATGAGTTCGGACCGAGGACGGCGGTATGAACGTGCGCTGCTGAAAAAAAATGTTAAATATTATTAGAAACAAAACAAAATTGAAAAATAAGCTGAAAAAAAGAAGAATCAGAAGGAAAATAGGCGATAACTGAAAAGGGACATTCAATAACTTTAGGGAAGACATTTTGAGCAACGCTCGTCAACCGGAAGTGAGGCTTTTTTTCCCTTTTCAAATGTCTTGACGCTACCAAATTTGATCTGCTAAGTGTCTTTACTCTCAAAGCGACGACTGACCCGAAATTTTGGGCAAAACCACTGCCCAAGAATGCAAAAAATCTACTTCCGGTTGTGCCCGAAAAACGTCATGCTTAGTTCTTCTTGTTTCTTCAAACCTCACACTGTCCAAGAAGCTACGAGTTTGATCTTACTTAAACGAAAGTGTACAGAAATGGACAGTTGATATGCTCTGTGTGTAGAGAGGTCTGTTCTCGAAGTACCTAGGATGAAATAAACCTTGCTCTCGGTTTGTTAAAGCTCTTGTTTCCAGGATTAGGTATAAGAAAAATAATCCTCTGGCATGCAGCCAGAGTATAATTCATATGAAGATAGTGTTAGATTCCTGTGGGAAGTGAAGTGTTTCGGGTAAAGGGATCTGAAGCGCCTACAGAAAAAAAGTGGTTCAAGGCCATCTCGTTTATTTTATTTACGGCACTTTAGATGGTCAGCAGATGAGTAACTTGATTTAGTTAGCTACTGGATTAACTTGGCTGATAGTATAAACACCTACATAGACTTGCGTGACTGCGAAGCTTGGATTAAAAGGCCATGCATCTTCTAGAGATATGTTTTATAACATAGCCTCGCTGGATTCAAACTAATATCCCTGCGTAATCGCCCGCAGAACAAACTGAACGGTCAGAAGTTAATTTCCTTATTTTAAAACAACACAACAATTTTTGGGGCGTCAGTTATCGTAAAAGGGTGTAACGTCGTATTACACGTGATTTATCACGTGACGAGAACATGATGGTTTCCCGGAAGAACAGGAAACAAAGTACAACAATTATGTTCCAAGCAAAAAATGTTCTTAAACAGCGCTTGAATTTTTTAAAAAAGTTTACCCACCGCGTACGATTTTCGCTTCTATCCCCCATTAAAATGATCCGCAATAGCTAAGATTTGGTCTCAAGTGAACTAAAAAACTTTCCTCACAATTTCCACAAAAACTCAGAAAGAAAACTACAATATTCTACCAATGTAAATAAATAGAGGAAAGCGAGTTCATACATACACATACCATGCAAAAAGGTACTGTGTACGTGCACAGGCAACCCAGGCTATTCACGTACGCAGCCTTACTTTTTTATACTTTGCATTCTCCCGTGAATCTATTATCACGAACTGAAATCGTGACAGCTGCGCTTTAGGGGAAGTCCCCTCAGTGGTTTTGTCTACAATAAAGATTTAATTAACAAATAAACAACTTTCAGTCGGTCGAACACGTTCTTCAGTATTTCGTCCTTTTTAGAGGTGAACGAAGGACCAATGTCGGCCCAAGAGGATTATTGCGTTCTCGTCGATTTCTGTCAGTCTTCTGACATGATGAAAGCACCGGAGCTGTGTCGCCGCGAAAGTTGTATCAAAGTGGCAGAGCTAGTCGCCTATTTTAGCGTTCTTGTGTGGCGCGTCGTTGGCTTGGCTCTGTTCTCTGTTCATGTTACCGACTGCCTATTCCGAGAAAAACACGCCAGCTACCAATGCAACAACTTCACCCTCTTCTCACACGCTTACGAACTGGAAATTGCCTGGCAGGCGTCTTCGATTTTAAACACACTGATTGTTCTTGCAGTCCTCGTAAAAGCGTTTGGCGTTCAGGAATGTCTGTCCGCCCTTCACAATAATTCCAAGCATGCCAGATTTTGGTCTCTCTTTTTCCAACTTGTTGGCACTATTATTTCGAAGATAGTCGTGATTTCTACAGTGCCGCCAGTAATAACCATTTTGATCGAAGTTGGATATGTATTCATGGTGGTGTCCACAACTCTTGTTGTATACTTTTGGAACGGCATTCCCGCGCCATTCAAGGCAACATACAGTAGGGTCCCTCGGGTCATCCGCGCGGCGCGTGCTGCTTACGTCATATCGCTTTTCGTTTTCATTTTGGAATATTTTTTCCTGTTTATTATAACCACAGCTCAAGCAGCTTTCCAAGTGACTGGACTTCATTCAAACTCAGATGGGAACTACTCTACTATTCACATATTAGCTGTTGTGTTAAATTTCACTGAAGCGTCTTTTCACTACGCCATGGTGAAGTTTTTCTGGAACAAGTTGTTTGACGATAGAAAGAACCTCTTGGTGAACGACAACGTTTAAACAATCGTTTTCAATTTTTCAATCTATATACTTTCTTTTCTCTTAGCTTCTCTTTCCCGTTACTTCTACCGGCCTCAAAAAACCCGCGAGGTTCTGCGATACACCTATTCCTCGTAAAAATTTAAAATGAACTGCGAAAAAAATTACCTTATTATAGGAAATTGATTAACGCTCCATGAAATTAAGGTATTGGAAATTTAATGCGACGTTCACAAAGAAACAAAGCTTCTTGAGACAACAGGAACAAAGTTGAACTTATAATCCGAAATAGAAACTTTGTTCGTGGTGCTTTCCCTAAAGTTACGAAGGTGGTCAAGCGAAGAAATCTGTCCATTTCGAGGGTTCTTCACAGTTTCACCGATACTAGCGGATCCGTGAACCTGATAAAATATTCCTCTTTTTTAGTTGTCAAGAATGTAGAGACTGGTGGCAGGGTGTCTTTTTTGTAATTTAGACTTGTTAACTTACTGCTAGATCAGGAAATTGCGTAGAGCGACTTGACTTTGACAGTTGAATCTAAGTTTTAGACGTATGCAAATTCTGAGAAGCAAGTGGGTTTTAGACGTATGCAAATTCTGAGAAGCTAGTGAGTTTTAGACGTACTCAAATTCTGGGAAGTAAACGAGTGCCCCCTACAGTGCCCGTCTTAATTTCAATTTGCCTACTCGTATTTTGAATCTTCTAATTTACAAACAAACCTGTTGTTAACCATCAAGGCAGTGCCTTGTTATGTATGTTAAGGACCGTTCACCTTGGATTCAGATAGAGTGTTAGTTGCAGGTGCGAGGTTTTAATTTTTCCTACAAAAGACGAGTGTTTTGATTAAGTAAACGGACTAGCTTGGACTCGACTCCACAACAAGTCATAGGGGTGTTTGAGGCTTCTCAATTCTTTGAAATTGGTGTTTTATAAAGAACAAAATTAAACTCAAACGAATGCGCTATTTTGTTAATCGCTTCAGTAAGTTGTATTACAAAGCGTGGCTCAGTTAGAGCAATGTTTTTGTCGGTTCTCTTGTTTGCACATGAATGGTTTAGTTTTCCTCGTCCTTAACGTGACTTGGCTGTTGTCCAAGACCATCCAAGGCTGTTTTTACAGAAAGATCTTCCGGCATTAATGATGGCAAGTATGGGTGTACAAGTATACTAGCGATTCTCACACTGACTTCACGTGTTGACGTAAATGGGCTAACCAGAAGCGCGTTGGTTCTTGAAACAAGAGATTCTTCTGTTTCACTTGTTACAAATTTGGACAACAAAGTAATGTTTGTAAACTGTGATGTCTTCTATACTCCTTTAAAGCGAAATGCCTGAAGCGATTTATATTCCCTTAGAACACGACTACGCTGAGTAAGTAAAAATTCCCGCTAAGTTTTGATCGCATCAGTGGTTTTGTCCGCGTACTTAATTTTTTCATTTTGTTTCTTGGGCTCCTTTTTTTTCTATTTGTTGTTGGTCACGTATTATTTTCGCAGCCGTCGGCAGTTCTTGTAAAACGATTTTCTGCTACAACTATCGTAGAAACTAAGCACTCTCTTAACACTTTCGCAGTTTTATTATAACGTAGGGTTGCATTTGGATACTTCTTTTGTTCTTGGGCCATCGTAGTTTAGTTGAGGGAAATAAAACACAAACAGCGGTGATAAACCTTGTGAGCTTTCACATTTTTATATAAAGCTCACAATGTTTGTCACCGCTGTTTTTGTTTTATTTCTGATCAAACTACGATGGCCCAAGAACAAAAGCATTTAGTTGAGGGACTGATCGCGCCAGTCGAGCTAACCTCGTTGCCGAGCTGGCTCGCTTTGCGTGGTGACTTTTATCCGTTCATTACATGACCCAACCTGTGAATACAGCCATTTTTCCTCCATCCTCTTCCTCGCCGCTAGGGACAAAAAATTTAAACAATTTAATCGACGTTTTTTGGATTGTGAAATGAGGGTGACAGTTGAAAAACAAAAAAAAAAACTAAACAATTACACCGCGGTCAACTCTTTGTTGCCAGATAAGGGCAAAATTCCCCACTTTCAGTTTCAGGAGTTCACCTGCGCGTTTATACTTGTAGTTGTAAAATATAACAAATAACTTTTCACTGAAATTCGACAAATCGACAACATTAGAAATGACGTTTAAGTATTGCAAACACTAAAAGGGTGGGCAGCCTACTGGTAAAATTTACTCTCGTTTTATATCAGGAGTAGACCTCTATCGTGTTCTCGAGGGCTCCTAGCTGTTATTATTTATGATATGAGTCTTGCAAGTCGTAAAGTGATGATTCTACATTTTCGTAGCGGAGGAAGTTTAACCATGTAAGCTTTGTCGTTTCATTAGGCTTATCCGCCCCATTTTAAATCTATTTTTATACATATTTTATTTTTAAATGGTTTTCTTTGTAGATGTTGTGCATTAAGGTGTGACATAATAAATAAATGAAGTAATTATTAATTAATTTATTAATTAGTCAATTAATTAGTAGACACATAAATAAGTGGACATCTTTTTTGCTCTTTTTATGACAGTCCAAAGATGATACAATAAGTGGTGTGGAATTACTGGCCTTTATTCCGTACCTTGTGGCTGTAGCTGCAAAAGACAAGCAACCTTGGAATGATCACGCAGTAAATAATTACAATCTTGAACGATCTCACTCAGCGAGCGAGTTCGAGACAGGGCTTGGAACAGAGTCTTTATAATCAGTCTGATAAGATTCAGCCCAATGTCCCGGAAATTTCGGTTGGAAATCAAATGGAACAGACCATTTCGGTTCGGTCCGACCGGAATTTGTAGTCCACTTTAACCGGTTGTGTCATTTCGGTCGTTCGGACCGAAATATCCCCTTCCGTGATTGTTCTCCCCAGTACCGCTCTTCTGTATCCTGCTTGCAAGAACAATAATCAAACGCGCGGTGACTTGGGTCGGGCCTTTGCAACCGGAATGTACCGTTCCATTGGGCATGTCTGGAATTTCCAAACATGATGTCAAAGTAAACCGGACTCTTTCTTGAATGGAAAGCGCCCCAGAAGTCACATTCGCTTATGTTACCTGCACTTCAAACTTCAACTTTATTGGAGTATAATATTTGCAGAGAAAAATAATATAGGTCCATCGGTAACATTAGGATACATTAGCTAGTCTAGACAGATCAATGAATCATTATAACTCATTGCAATGTTCACTGGCGAAATTAGCTTAAAGGAACTTATTTTCACTTTATTAAATAAATTGAAGTCAACCCAACATTAGCTTATCATTTGTTTTCCTCAAGAGCTAGAATGATTTGGGGATTGTTAATATGGCGGCCATCATTTCGCCCTAGAATACCAACATGGAAGGTGTGAAGTTGAGCTGTAAACTTTGTTGTTTTTTAATTTTTATTATCATTCTTATTCTTATTATTATTCTTATTATTATTGTTATTATTATTATTATTATTATTATTATTATTATTTTTATTATTTAACGGAACGAACGACTTCAAACGTCCGACGATCTTGAGTAATAAAATTCCAGGGACGTAGCCAGCTTTCGGACTTGTTGTAGGTCTGGCTGACTTTCATTTCCACATATCCTGAAAAATGCTTGTTTAATTCTGTTGATTGCAGGTATGACAAGTGGACAATGAATTGAGTTTAACTTTAAGCTCGTAAGCTCCTTAGTTCGCCCAAGCAACACATAATTTATTACCAGTGGTAGAGTGATCAAACAAAAAATTTGTAGGCCCGAGCTTATCGATCTATGGGCTGGGTACGCCCCTGAATTTTATTTTATTTTTTGGATCCGACACACTGTAATCATCGAAAAAAGGCTAAGGCACAGCACAACCTGGTTCCCAGGGTCCTAGGAATCAGTTTGTCCAAGGCAAGGCGCAATGAATTGAGGAAACCCCGACGTATTTCCTTTCAAAACCAGCAAAGTAATTTCTGCAAGCACACCTGTCTTAAAATTCCCTCCGTGATTCAATATCACAAAGACAGGCGATTTTGTTCTATTTTTCTTTTCTTTTACAACGAGATGTCTTATACTTAAGAAATGTCCCATTTCCATTTTACGGTAACTTAGAAAAAAACGTATATTCGCAATTTCGTGGACCTAGTGAAAAACAGGAAAAGGAAGACAAAGATTATCCAGGGTCCCCCGGGGGCAGTGTCGTGGCCATGCGGGAACATCAGGTTGCGAAGAATTCTTTTCCCGATCTTGCCCCGGAGATTGGCCGAACAGTTCCGAAAGCATGTGTTATGACACTCAAACTAGTTGTTATACCAGTGAAGTGAACAGGTCAATGGTCGCTATGCTTCTCGATCTTGATTTCAATTCTCTCCTCCGTTTTATAACTATACTCAACCTTGGCCGGATTTGACTCACATTTATTGACACCAGGAAAGGAAAGTATCTTTAAGAAAGGACTCCATGATTAGTTGAGTTTTGATGCGACGGTAAGAAATACTCTCGTTATTTTTAGGTATCTTACGCGTCTTGATTTCCAACTTGTCTGTTTTTTGTTCCGATATGCAATTACTCGGAAATTTGTCTGTCGACTGTGTTTGGGCAAAGGAGATAGAATTCCATCTAGCTAGCCTTTAACGTCGGTAAGACACTGTAGGCAAAAAACCTTGAACGTTTCGATTCGTGTTTGTGCTCAGTAGTAAACTGTCGATAGGAGAGGAAAGAATAATGCGCGGATAAGATGAAAAGCAAGGGTCGATTTCTCAAGATAGCGTTACATATTTTAAAGTTTTTTACGGTACTTGATTAAGAGATGATTACCCCACTGCAGGGTACTCGAATCAGTTGAATTTATTATAAAACGTTCATTCTTGGCTCTCTGTAACCTGGGTGACAGCGGCTTTTCATGCGACGAAGCTCCTTGTCCCACGCGAGAAAAAACCTCTGGCACCTAGTGTTGTGTAGGCTTTCTGTACCCTGCTAGTAGATAAGTCGGTAAAGAGTAAGCGAGTTCCTTCCTCTTCCCGACTTATCTAGGAAGATCGAAGGAGACTCTGTTCGAAGGGTAGGCTTTCTGAGGCTTGGGAAATGAAACCAAAAAAATCACCCTGAGGTTCAGGGATGAATAATACATTTCTAGTTCTCCCTAGCTAAGTGTCCTGAATTTTGATATATCAAAATTGGTCTTTTATAACATGTTAATGGCTGACTGGCTAATAGGGAGGCCGGCAAATTAAATTACATGTACGTCTGCGACGCAGATTGTCCCTGACCGCGCACAATCCTCCTTTATTGTTTTGACCACGAATTGGAACTGAATGGCGTTAAAATTGGCCAGCTCGTTCAAAATGATTGGGATGCTACGCCATAGAATTTTGTGCACGATTAATTCCAAAAATGCTGACAAAAATCTGAAGGCCTTTATAACCAACCATGACAGCGGTGGTGTTAACGGAACACGTTCCGGCAAATTATATTCTTGAAATTGATGAGACGTATGATTCGTCGTGCGACGAAGCATTAAACAGTACCAGTACCCGTAAAACATCACTGAAGCGACACCACTGGTACGTATTCACTTTCTCTTGATTCAGTACACACAGATAGCGATACACCCCAAAAATAATATGACAGATACTTGAAACGGGGCATTTTGCTGTTTTCTATTTTCTTTTCCTTTTTTTAACGTAGATTTGAATTAGACTGCGAGCAGTCTCTCTTGTTCTTCAGATTTAGTGAGGGGAGTGCACGCGCGCGAGAGCGTTGAGCGGCGAAGCCGCGAGACGCGAGAAACGAAGGCGGCAGCCCGAGAAGGAAAAAACTCTCCCGTCTCGCGCCTTCAGTCACGCGCGTGGTCATTTGCGTGTCTCGGGCGTTTTGCTCGACGGACCAAGAAAAAAGCGAGACTGCACGTAGTCTAATTTTAATACTTTAAAACAACTAAGATAACTCGACTCCCGTGGCGGGAGGGGGGGTACTTCCTTACAAGAGGCTAATGGAGATGTGCCTGTGGATGGGGTCGCGTTTTCACGGCTGGATTGACTATAATGGGGTCGCACATTTTCGGATTTTTTGGGGTAAGACAGTTCTTCATATTTACGGTTAGCAAACGTACCAGAATGTTTGTACTGCAGATGAAAAGTAAAGTGTTCTTCATTCAATTCAATCTAGAAAAAA